AGAGAGAGAGAGAGAGAGAGAGAGAGATTGGTGATAGGAGCAAAGGGGGAGGTGAAGCGGGGGGCAAAAAGGACCAAAAGGTGAGGATAGAGAGCTGGAAGGAGTTTATGACTATGTGGTTCTGGAGGCTGATGGATTCAGTTATTTCCAAACCTCACTGGGGCACAAGATACCTTGGTTTGGAAGGATCTGCCATGCACATAAAGCGGCATCTCTTTGTCTCTCCTCTCAAGGGATTATAAGTGATGGAAAACACCAAGGCAGCTAGTATTCCCTCATCCAGTCCCTGTAGCCTTCTCCTCACATTTTATCTTTAAGAAAGCAGCATTATGGTCTTCAAGAAAAAAGAGAGTAGGAGTGCTGCTGTCTAAAGGAGGAAACTGGTAGGATATAGTGAAATGTCTAGAAATCCTCCAAGAATGACAGACAGACCTGGGGTAAAGGGCCAGACTTCAGGGGCCACTTTAGAGTGCTAGGTTGGGTCATGATTCCCTGTGGGTAAAGTGCCTTTGGCCCGGGGGCTTCCCACTTGCAGCATGACTTCAGAAGTTGTTCTGCAAAATCCTATCCCCAAGGGGAACCAGCAGTAAAGATCCCATTTATGCCTATTCCCCCCACATTCACAGCCCCATGAAGGTAAAGTCAGAATGCAGCTCCCCCAGCTGCCTTGTTCCCCAATGTCCCCACAAGATATGATCATTTACCAATGCCCCACTGCTCAGCAGAATCACAAAGATAATAAAGCTCTCAAACCAGCTGTGTTTCACTATTTGGTAGCAGGTTTTCCGCAGGTTCCACCAAAGGGTCCAGTGGGACTTTCTCTTGTTCACAGCACAGCATGAGAAGCAGCAAGCCAGGCCTACAAGGAACGCCCATTAGTGTCTGTAGTAAAGTACATTAACAACCCAACTCTTCACCCCTCCCTGTATGCCCCTTGCTGTGTGATTTTGCAATTCCTTACACTAAAGAGGTAGAGTCTTTTTCCAACCCTTTGAATCTAGGCTTAGCTGTGTCACTTGATTTGGCCAATAGAGCAGAGTGAGCCAGTTCTGAGCCTAGACCCTAAGCAGCCTTGCATGTTTCCACCTGCTCTCCTCTATCTACTTAAGAAAGGTGTATATGTCAGGCTGTTGTGGCTCAGTGGTTGAGCATCAACCTATGATCCAGGAGGTCACAGTTCCAATTCCTGGTCAGGGCATATGCCAGGGTTCTGGGCTCGATCCCCAGTGGAGGGTGTGCAGAAGGCAGCCGATCAATGATTTTCTCTCATCATTGATGTTTCTAGCTCTCTCTCCCTCTCCCTTCCTCTCTGAAATCAATAAACCCACCCCATTTTTTTTTAAAGAAAGGTGTATTCAGGTCAGCAAACTGGTTCCAGGAAGAGGACAGACATGTTACACAAAGCCACATTGCAGTTAAACCCAGGCTAGATCAGCCAACTCCTAGTCAGCACCACTCACATGAATAAAGCAGCCAAGATCAGCAGAGACAGCCAGGCTAGATGAGCTGAATCATGTTTATCACTGTGTGCTACTGAGGTCTTGTGGTTGTTTGTTATGCAGCAATGTTTTTGGCAATAGTAAACAGTGTCCTAAGAACTGCAGGGAATGAGGCATGGATGGACACAGGCTTTGTCAACCACCCATGGAAGAGTTTGATCAATTGTCAAGATACTTACAAATAGCTGAGCATTTGGTCCCAACACACACAAGCCATCTAGATGAATCACATCACCTTTTCACCTTGTCTCCTCCTTCACTCCTCCTTAATTCTGTGGATGCTTATTACTTCATGGTGACTACAGCATTCCACTCCTTTTCTCATCATCTTCCTAAATCACTGTGAGGTCTCCTCAGTCTGCCACTTACCTCTCTCCATCTTTCAGAACATCAATAAATTAATTTTCCTAAAATTGTATTTCTCTTACCCTACTCCTCTCTTCTTCTAGAACCATCCCCCGCTTTTGCCTCCATCTTCATTGCTGACATCCTCTCCATACCTCAAGGACCAGTCCAAATGGAAGTCAAGAGAATAGCAATCTAGCCCTAGCCTGACCTCTGACCCCCTGGGCAGCTTTAGAGCTGTCAAACAACACTAAAACCCATTCTTAGTATTCCTTTTGAACCCAGCCTAGCCCAAAACTGATGGAGAAATTTTTAATTTTTAGATTCATTTATTCATTTGTTAAGTTACTTATTTATGTGCTTAACATTTATTGAGCCCATAATCAGGGCAGGTTCTATTCTCACAATAGAGATACAATAATATTGCTTTTGTGTTTAAGAACCTCATGGGAGAGACGGACAGAAATAAATGCCCCTCAATGAATACAGAAAATAATGAAGGCACACAGGGAGAAACCATTACATCCACTCAAGGAATCAGAAAATGCTGCATTTGTTGATTGCTTATTATGTGCCAGGCACTCTTCTAAGTGATTTATATTCATTCATTTCAGACCTATAACAACCCTTTCAGCAGGTACTATTATTATACCATTTTGTAAATGAGGCACAGAGAGGTTAATGAAATTAAACATAGAGAAGCCAGAATTTGAGCTCAGGCAGTCTGGCTCCAGAGACGAAGCTCTTAGCTACAATGTTATCCTGTGTCCAGAGAAGAATTTTGAGGAATGAGTTGAAGGCCTGGCAGGGGTTTTAGTCAACCCTAAACTTACAGTCAAGTTCTTTTACTCTATGGCTCAAGTATATCCTGACAACTGATGTACTGGGGACTCTACAAAGTGGTGGACATATTGGCTCACTGGGCTTTCTGGAAAGTTTTCTGGAGTTTCTACCCTGGTTGTTAGTCTCTGTAATCTGAGCCTACCCAAATCAAAACTAGACCTGACAATGACCCCAAGAATCTATGAGTGACCTCTCTTCACTTCTGTCTCCAGTAGAAGTAGAAAAAAAGAATATATCAAAACCACAGAACTTCAAAGAATAACAGAATCCCATCCAAATATTCTGTGAGTTGGATGCAGGAATACTACCACTTACCTTTGGGAAAACATCTCTCTGGTTCCTTTTGGGGAACCATTTCAGGGATCCGCCTAAAGGGATCTTGCAGGTCAATGGTGCTACATTCCGAGAGCACACTGATAGCATCAGACTTCTGTGCATCAGAACAAAGGAAAGGAAGAATCATTTATCAACACCCTCTCTCACCATGGTAGTACCTAATACCTTATAAAAAATATGACTTTTTAGGTATGAAACTAACCAGGCAAGGGCTTCTAGGTATGAGGGGAATCAAGAAAGTATCCCTCTTATTGGGTCCTTTTCCAAATGCTCTGACCAGCCCTGACTTCAGGAGAGAATTCTCTAATTGCTCTCCTCTGGTGGAGGAAAGGGAAGGAGTATAAAGACATAGTATCTCAACCTTTTCCTCCCTTCAAATCATACCTCTGGACAGCTGCCTAACCCCAAACAGGGAAGCCAGGTGATGATGAGAAGGCTACTTTACTGGGACTGTAATATTCAGCTATCCCAACTCCTGGAATAATAGGCCTACACCAGTGGTTCTCAATGATTTCCCCCTCCAGGAGATATTTTGGCAAAGTCTAGAGAAATTTTTTACTTTCACAACTGGGGAATGCTACTGGGATCTAGAGAGTAGAGGCCAAGGATGCTTCTAAACATCCTAAAATACACAGAACAGCCCACCACAACAAAGAATTATCCTGCCCCAAATGTCATAGTGGAGAGGTTGAGAAGCCTTGGTATAGACCTTTGCTTAAGATGTGACCCTAGAAGTTTTCTCTGCACTAGTCTTGATATTTTCCACAATGGCTCTCTTAGAGAAGGTGTATGGATGATCATGCCACATGTTCCTTCTGGAAACATGCTGGGGAAATTACCTTTCGGGTATTCTGTACTGATATATAAGGATCATCTTCAGAGAACACCTCAATTTCCACATTTTGAACTCTTATACTGGTGGACTTGTCCTTCTGATCGAGCTCATAGGCCTGAATACAGAGAAGACCAGAATAGAATTAATATTCCTCCTGGAAATCTCGCTTGAGATGAAACAAGACTGCATTTTCTTTGGTTTTCTATTTGTTATGAAAATTGTGACATTGTTATTCTTTTTCTTTTCAGTTTTTAAAACTGTTTGTGGAAAAACTCAACATAAAACAAATCTGGAGAAAATACTATAGAAAACAGATAACAAAATTTACTCAGAAGTAATATAATCATCATATGGTTCTGGCACAATATTCACCAAAAACTTCAGAGGTAAAACTTATTGTGGCCTTTCAATTCATAGCTAAATAATAAATTATTTAATAAATGGTATTGGTATAATTAGCTACCCCTGAAAAATTAATACAATACCAGAATATAGTAAAAATAAAATTCATAATTTGATGTAAAAATAGATGAGTAAAAAAGTTAGAAGAAATTTTTGGAAAATAGGTTAGCTTATCAAAATCAAAAGGCATAAAAGAAAATATGAAAATGTATTACTACATAAAAATAAATTATAAAAAATAAATTTAAAAAAATTGTGTCTGATGACTTGCAGGGATATCCAAAAAGGATGTGCAGAAGTCACACTTTAGGTGAGGGTTTTATCCAAAAATCTATGTGAGAGTTCCAGTGAATCTGACAGTGCAAGGTCATGATTTAAGAACACTTCTCCTTTTGAACACATGTAATAACACACAGAGACACACACCCACAAACATACACACACAAAAACAGGTAAATATACCTATGGACCAGACAGAGAACAGAAATAAAAAATAGTAACAATTTAAAGCACATAGTAGGTAAATGGCTAAAAGTGCCCCCTGTGAGGATCAGAACCATAACTACGTCCAAAGCTTGAAACTTCAACTGCTGGGTTGAAGTTCTTGAACTTAAGAGAGGGAGCCAAAATAAGCTCTGGCCAATGCTTGGAGTTATGATTATACAAAGCTTCACACCTAAGGAGGCCTCAGAAATAGGACCTGAGCAAAGGAACCCACTGGTTCAGTGACTGGATATGCAATATGCTTAGTACCACTATTTGACAATAATCCAAAATTGGCTATATAAGACTTGATTCTGAAATGGATGACCTATAAACATCCATTGAAGACATCAGAGAACTTAAAGTGAGTGACAGATCTTCCCACTAACGATGAATTTTTAAACTAACACTCCAAAATATGAGATAAACATAAAATAAATAGCTGCTCTCCACCCCCAAAGTAACTACTGGGAGGTGAATTTACTCCAGAAAAAAAAACCCACTATATGTCAACAAATTAGATAACTTTAATAAAACAGACATATTTCTAGAAATAAAATTTAAAAATCTTCCACAACAGACTCCATAAGAAATAGAAAATCTGAATAGCCCTATAGCAAGTAAAGAGATTGAATTTATAATTTAGAAACTTCCCAGAGACTTCCAGTTTCTAGGCTGACACCTGGAGGTTTTAACACTCCATCCTAACAAGTAAAAAGCTGTACAAAATGGAAAATAAACAATTCTTTTTAGATCCATAAGTGAGGTTGAGCGCAAATGCTGACCCCAGCCCCAAATACAGAGAACCACAACTTATCAGAGCAGAAACCCAGAGGCAAAAAAACTCCATAGGAACAGTGCCAGAGTAGGGAAACCTGAACTGTATGTAATTGACAAACTGCTGCAGGCTAAGTGTGGGCAAGTTTAAGAGATACAAGCTCCGTAGGACCATCTTCAGGTTTTACCTCTTGGAGCTCTACCAAGTTCTCAGAGTGAATATTGGAGGAAAAGCCCCTCATGCTTTCAGCGGGGGCAGGGTAAAAGATATCATTTTGAATGGTATGAGAGTATTCTGTTCTTCCTAACAAGCCCTGCCCCCAAGAGAAACTAGTTAATCAGAACCTAACCTGCTGGGTTTTATCATGTTCTTACTGACCTGGGGGAAGGATAATGCCCGATTCCAGCCAGCTCTAGATTTCCACGTGGAAGGAAGGAAATAGCCAACTCCAGCTTACTCTAGCCATTCCCTCCCACCTAAGGACAGGGCTACTGAGAATCACTGTGAAGTCCAGAGTCCAGAGGCTCAGGCTCCCTGAAAGCCTGAGCCCTCAGCATAGAGGAAGGAGAGGGAGAAAATGAGGGAGAACAGCCAACTGCATCCAACAATTTTGGCATATGATATTTTCATTTCTATTTATCTTGAAGTATTTAAAATATTTTTGTGATTTCTTCTTTGACTTGGTTATTTAAGAATGTTTTGCTTAATTTCCATATAATTGTGAATTCTTCCCTCTCCCTTTTCCTCTCTGATAGATCTCTTCCGTTCCCCGCCCGCCGCCCCCACCTCACCAACATATAACTAAAGGCCTATTTACAGCAGTTTCATTACCAATACATCATGTCCAAGTATGAAAAAAAAAGCTACAACACATACTAAAAGGCAAAAAATGTGGTTTGAAGAGGCAGAGCAGGCATCAGAACCAGACTCAATATGGCAAAGATGTTCAATTTAATCAGACCAGGAACTTAAAACAACATGATTAAAATGCTAAGGGCTCTAATGGATACAGTAGACAGCATGTGAGAATACACAGGCAATTTAATCAGAGCAATGGAAATTCTAAGAAAGAACAAAAAACAAACACTAGAGGTAAAAAATGTAACAAAAATGAAGAATGCCACTGATGGGCTTTAGTAGACTGGACACCGCTAAGGAAAGAATCTCTGAGCTTGAGGATATCTGCACAGACACCTCCAAAAGAAAAAAGCAACGAGAAAAATATGGAGGAAAAATAACTCAGAAGGGAATACCCAAGACCTATGGGGCAATTATAAAGGTGCAGCATACGGGTAAAAGGAATTGATAGCCCTCATCACCCACCACTCCTCACCCATGAGCCCCACCACTGATCCCTGCAGACATCAATTATAAAGGTGCAGCATACGGGTAAAAGGAATTGACAGCCCTTATCACCCGCCACTCCTCACCCCACCACTGATCCCTGCATCCATCGGCAAGGCAATGAAGAGATTGAGTACCTGGGGAGGGGTTGGAGTAGGGGCACAAGCAGAATGGACAATTTCGCAAACGAGAGGATATCGTAGGTTTCCAGAACAATTTTCCCCAAGACCCTTCTGAGTTTTTTCCTATCACTGTCTCTTTTTCTATGCTATTCACTTCACTTTCCACACTCTTTCCTCACCTTTTATCCAACCCAAATTCTTTTAGGGCTCAACTAAAGGCACTTGATTCTCCTGTTGCCCCAGCGTACTCTGATCTCGCTCCCCTCTGAGCTCCTCCAACACCTCTCATCGGTGCCACATGTACAAGGCCATGATCGGCACAGCCCTGGGATGGGCACATGGCATTGAGGGGCAGCCACCACATATTCTCCCCTTATTATCCATGCACAGTGCAACCAGTGCCCTGTAGCAACTCTAGCTCCGCACAACCTCTAAGTCAACCTCTGTGTGAACCTTCATACCTGCTCCCCAGACTCGGGTTGTGTGACAGGCTGTTCATTGTCTACAGGAGATCGAATATCTTCTTCCTCTGCAAGTGGGGCCAACCAAGTACGATCGGGCCTAACACTCAAGGGCTTTGGTGCAGGAGTTAGTACACTGGACTCTTCCCAGGTCTCTGGGCCTCTTTTAATCTCTGTGACCAGGGGAATGACGTCTTTGTTCTCTGCAGAAGAGCTTTCTGTCACCTCTTTTTGCTTTGGTAACTTCTGCCTCCTGCATCGTTTGTGACAAAATTGCTGCAGCGTATGTATCACAAAACGGAAAGCCCGGTGGAAACGATCCAGGGCTAACTGGACTTTGGTTTTCCTGGACTCTCCCTCCAAGTTTCCATCCCTCTCCTCATTGCTGAAGGAATTGAGCAGCAAGGCAATGAAGAGGTTGAGTACCTGGGGAGGGGTTGAAGTAGGGGCATAAACGGAATGGACAATTTCGCAAACGAGAGGATATCGTAGGTTTCCAGAACAATTTTCCCCAAGACCCTTCTGAGTTTTTTCCTATCACTGTCTCTTTTTCTATGCTATTCACTTCACTTTCCACACTCTTTCCTCACCTTTTATCCAACCCAAATTCTTTTAGGGCTCAACTAAAGGCACTTGATTCTCCTGTTGCCCCAGCGTACTCTGATCTCGCTCCCCTCTGAGCTCCTCCAACACCTCTCATCGGTGCCACATGTACAGGGCCATGATCGGCATAGCCCTGGGATGGGCACATGGCATTGAGGGGCAGCCACCACATATTCTCCCCTTATTATCCATGCACAGTGCAACCAGTGCCCTGTAGCAACTCTAGCTCCGCACAACCTCTAAGTCAACCTCTGTGTGAACCTTCATACCTGCTCCCCAGACTCGGGTTGTGTGACAGGCTGTTCATTGTCTACAGGAGATCGAATATCTTCTTCCTCTGCAAGTGGGGCCAACCAAGTCCGATCGGGCCTAACACTCAAGGGTTTTGGTGCAGGAGTTAGTACACTGGACTCTTCCCAGGTCTCTGGGCCTCTTTTAATCTCTGTGACCAGGGGAATGACGTCTTTGTTCTCTGCAGAAGAGCTTTCTGTCACCTCTTTTTGCTTTGGTAACTTCTGCCTCCTGCATCGTTTGCGACAAAATTGCTGCAGCGTATGTATCACAAAACGGAAAGCCCGGTGGAAACGATCCAGGGCTAACTGGACTTTGGTTTTCCTGGACTCTCCTTCCAAGTTTCCATCCCTCTCCTCATTGCTGAAGGAATTGAGCAGCAAGGCAATGAAGAGGTTGAGTACCTGGGGAGGGGTTGGAGTGGGGGCACAAGCAGAATGGACAATTTAGCAAACGAAAGGACACAGTAGGTTTCCAGTACAATTTTCCCCAAGACCCAAAACCAAGTCAAATGAGATTTCTATGTCCTTCTATTTCTCAAGAAATTTCATCTATAAAATAAATAAAAAAAGAAGAGATTGAGGAGTAATCGAGATAGCAAGATAAGACAAAAGAAAAACTGATGTTAAGGGGTACAAACAGCCAAATCCAGCTTATCTACATATAAGCAATACCTATTGTAGACTCTGGCCAGAGTAAAGCAGAACATTTTTACCATGTGGTATAATCAAAAGTATATTCCTTGTGAATCAGCCAGAATCACAATCTTGGACACTTACGTTGGAATTGCCCACCGGGATATGGGCCTGATGTCTAAGATTGCTGTGGGGTCCTCTCCTGCAAAATTTGAGACTTGGTGGACTTTGTGCAGGCTCTTTAGATCCCACTGCCTGAACTGCAGTAAGTACTGGCGCTGAGGCAGAAGGGTTTGAATCAAATCTACAACTCTTCTATTGAAGCACATATCACTTTAAATTCAGATCATCTCCACTGCTCCCTACTTGGGATTTTTGCTTACATTTACACACCCCTAATTCATCACCTTTACCTCCTCAAACTACTCTGTGGCTCGCACCAACTCAAAAATATACATCCTTCAGGGAGAAGTGTCTGGTGGGTATGAATGGGTCTAACCAATATTTTTCAGCTTCACCGTGAGAATTTCCGACTCTGGATCTTTGCTCAAGCTCTCCTCTATCTGCTCAGTTCTCCTTGCCTCTTAAATGCCATTCTCAAGTACCATATCTTACACAAATCACTTCTTAATGATCCCTTCCCCACTCCCATTGGTGGTGTCCTGCTCTCCTGAACTTTTGTATTACTCACTGTCTATCTACACTCCCCTTGGGGTCTTAGGATAAACTACCATGTGCAGATACCTAATTATATTTGCACCATAGCCCCAGCTCAGGTGTCCTTGGGTGTCTCCTGTCTCTTCACACCCTCACTGGTAGATGCCTAATTAGCCACTCCATAAATACCTATGTTTCCAACTGCAAGTAACAAACTCAAGTCAGCTTACACAATAAGGAAATGCAATATAACCAGAAGTTTGAAAATAAAACAGGGACCTAGTTATGACAGGTAGACATGTTGTTGCATCTTTTCTCTCTACCTTCCTCAGTGCTGGTTTTGCCTTATCTGGTTCTTCTAGTGGCTGCATGTTTACAGTTCTATCCGGGACCTAGTTATGACAGGTAGACATGTTGTTGCATCTACCTTCCTAGGTGCTGGTTTTGCCTTATCTGGTTCTTCTGGTGGCTGCATGTTTACAGTTCTATCTAGAATCCCTGTCATAAAATGGCCCAGAGGAAGTAAAAATACCATTTGTTCCCTTGTCCCCTTTTCTTCTTTAAGAATAAGAAACCTACCCTAGCCAGTTTAGATGGCCCAGAGGAAGTAAAAATACCATTTGTTCCCTTGTTCCCTTTTCTTCTTCTTTAAGAATAGAAACCTGCCCTAGCCGGTTTGGATCAGTGGATAGAGCATCGGCCTGCGGACTGAAGGGTCCCAAGTTTGATTCTGGTCAAGGACACATGCCTGGGTTGTGGGCTCGATCCCCAGTGGGGGGTGTGCAGAAGGCAACCCATCAATGATTCTCTTTCATCATTGATGTTTCTATCTATCTGTCCCTCTCCCCTCCTCTCTGAAATCAATGGATAGATGATGATCTATCTATCTATCTGTCCCTCTCCCCTCCTCTCTGAAATCAATGATAGATGATAGATAGATAGATAGATAGATAGATAGATAGATAGATGGATGATAGATATTTTTTTAAAGAATAAGAAACCTTCCTCAGTGGACATCCCTTTACATCATATTGACCAAATTTAGTCACAAACCCCTCCCTCAGCCAATCACTGGCAAAGAGAATATGATGATTATCTTAGAATAATCATCTGGGGTAGAATAGCTATTGGGACATCAGTCAACACAAGCACTATTGTGACAAGGAGGTTTTGTTTCATGCTTATCACACTTGCCTTAAGCCAAATTCAAACACAAATTACTAATATTATATAATATCATAATATTCTGTTTAGAATAAGAATATCACTAGTGAAATGTTGCAAAAGAAGCTAATGTGTTTCTTTAGTTCATGTATTTTCATGTTAAAAAGTCTAAGACACTCACCACGAGTTTTCCTATCACCATGATCAACAAGAAGACAACAATGCACAGGTATTTATCAGCTTCCATCATACATTCCCACATGTTCTCGATCCATTCCCCGCAGAGGATGCGGAACACCACCAGGAAGGAGTGGTAGAAATCCCCCATGTGCCAGCGTCGAAAACATGGGGATGTCGTAGAATCACAGGCTTTTGGATTTTTCTTTTCACAACTGAAACTAGAGCCAAACAGCTGCATGCCAACTACTGAGAAAATAAAGATCACAATGGCCAGGACCACAGTCAGGTTTCCAAGGGCTCCAACAGAGTGGCCTATGATCTTAATCAGTGTGTTTAAAGTTGGCCAAGATTTGGCTAACTTGAAGACCCTCAGCTGTAGATACAGACAATGAACAAAAATGAAAGAAAAGCCAGTTAAGGACAAATTCTATCTGTTCAGTCACAAAACAAATGATATGGTCTCAAGCCACACCATTTATGACTTTCAAAAATCTTTTCAAAGCCAAGCCATACTAAACATTGCCACCAACTCCATATCCCAATCCGATACTCACCTGTATCTACTTTTGGTTTTAAAAATGAAAATATTTTGTTCTAGTTATTTTTAAATGATAAAGACTTTGGGGGCATGATGATGGAACTGAGCATACATGCTTATTATATAAAATATGTATCTGAGGCAAAAAAAACTCAGGCCTAAGGATCATATCCATCCCATTGCCTGTTTTGTATGGCCTGAGAGGTAAGGACATTTTCTACATTTTTAAATGGTTGGAAAATAATCAAGAGAAGGATAATTTTATGACACGTAAAAATTATATGAAGTTCAAATTTCCACATTTGTACAGTTTTATTGGAATGCAGCCGCCTCCATTCATTCTCGAACATCTAGGACTACATTTGTGTTACAATGACAAAGCTGAATGGTTTTCACAGAGACCACATGACCTGTAAGGCCAACGATATTTACCATTTGGCCTTTTGAAGAACAAGTTTGCTAACTCCTGCACTATATCATTCAGAACACAAGTCTGAATCTAAACTTTATGACAATGATGAATGTCATATGATGTTTTTACTCAGGAGAGCACAGGCAATTGGTTACTCAAACACACACTTTTTTCCGAAGAGGATTTTCCTCCATGAAACCTTACAGATACGTTAGAGACAGTAACCTTGGAGAAAACACAGCAACTAGTTTCATAGGTATTTTTTATATTAACTTTCAATATAAACTGTGGTTTAAGTCCAAAGTACAATCTTGTTAGGTATCAACTATCTGGGGGTGGAAATACTGCAGGTCGGGAAGTCTTATGTCCCAAGAGAAAGACCACCACCGTCTGCTCAGAGTGGAGCTGGGAGAAACTGTATCTCATATGCGGACAACGCCAGAGTTCCTCGCTAAGCGTGTGGATGTAATAAGCCTAAACAATAGTAAAAACAAATGCAATTTTGCTCACTTGAGCCCCCATGCAACTTTAGCAGAGCAGCCTAATAATGCCTGGCTTTGAGCAGTGTGCTCTCCCGATATATCCCAAGTATCAAATGTACACTTACTTAGGTAGCAGAATCAAATGTCTCACTCTAGAGCAGTGTTCTCAACCTGTGGGTCGCGACCCCTTTGGGGATCGAACGACCCTTTCACAGGGGTTGCCTAAGACCATCGGAAAACACATATATAATTACATATTGGTTTTGTGATTAATCACTATGCTTTAATTATGTTCAATTTGTAACAATGAAATTGGGGGTCACCATAACATGAGGAACTGTATTAAAGGGTCGTGGCATTAGGAAGGTTGAGAACCACTGCTCTAGAGGCTTAGAAATCCTATCCATGCCAAATTAACCTTTGAGAGAGGACAAAAGACCACCTTTTATGGTTCCCTATTTCCTGCTCAGATGTGATTTCTCTATAGATTTCTATCCGACCTCTTGTGGGCTTGGTCATACTCTACTTTGCTTCATGGCCATTTCTGGGCCTGTCTTGTATCATCCCCAGACTATAGCTCCTTGAAGACAGTGCTTTCCTCATCTCTGAGCATTCCCTGTGTCGGTTAACATTAGGTACTCTGCTAAGGTTGCCAGGATGCCTCCAATGGCTGTGACATGTGGAATGTAGCACTGGCAGCCCTGAGGAGGGACTTATGAGAAAGCACCTGCCACCAGCAGTGCCCATCCCCTTCCTGGGCTCTGGGTCTAAACCCACTTGGTGAGCCCTGAAGTGAGGATGCCTGGCTCAGAGCTCCGTGGAGGAAGAGATCACTGGGGTGACAAAGGGCAGAGTCCTGACACCATAAGACACATTTTGCAACTGGTTGCCTAAAGGCTCATCTTGGAAGGGTGGAGGGGAGAGTAGGGGTTCAGCTGAGAGAAGGCCCCTGGGACTCCCAAGGGCATTTATTAAAGACCTGAGTAGGAAGAGTAGTACATTTTGGGTTCTCTGATTAACGTAAGATGAACTCATTAATCCAAATTAGCCACTGAACTCACTGAAGACTCTTTTCAATCCTGGCTGCTAAGTTATTCAGCAAAATAAGAAAGTAAGTATCTTACCACTCTGAAGGAACGGAAAACTGGCAAACTTTGCGGCATCATCACATCTATAAAACTCAGAAGAGCAACAATGCTGTCAAAAATGTTCCAGCCTCGGCGAAAGTAGTGGTAGGGATCGAGCGCAATGATTTTTAGGCACATTTCTGCTATAAAAATGCCAGTGAAAACCTACATTGAGACAAAGAAAAGTGGGAAAAGGAAGCCACCTCTTTTTGCACACACACGTTAACAATGGTTCCAGGGGAAAAAAAAGAATGGTTCCAGGGAATTACAGGAGTTACAGAGAAATACAATGCATTCTCCTGGTTGCACAATATTCCCTAAAATCCACGGAAAAGAAATATTTAACTGCTATAGCATGAACCTTACTCTACCTTTGCTCTCTCTCCACCCCCTTCCATGGTGCCCAGTTCAATGTTATCAAGCTCGCAGACATCTCAGGATGGAGAAAAAATATTTCTCATTCTGTTGAAATTAAAGCAAAGCTGGCTTCTTGGTAGATGGCAGAATGAAAGGAAGTATCAATTAATTCTGCTAAATTCTTTAAAAATACCAAAGGGTAAGAACTCCAAAAAGGGGAACTACACAACACCTCTACGAATTAAAGAAAAATACCCTCCATAAACCAGAATCCAGGAGGAGCTCACCTAACCACTCAATCTTAGTACCTTGATCAGAAAAAAATTTAAAAGGGGCCCAGAACAGAGAATTGAAAAACATTACTAGGGACAGAAAAGTATCTTTGAGCAACTCACAGGATAAACCTTAGATTGATTATAGTTGAAGGGAGGATTGGTGAGTTGGAATATAACCCTAAAAACTCACTCAGAATGCAGGGCTCTTCATTCCAGAACAAAATATCAAAGAATTAAAAGGAGAGGTAACAGTTTTTTAAAAGTGCTAAATTATAGCACCATAGGCAAAAATAATTTTTGCCTTGTTTTTGATAATCAGGTAAATACAGGCTTAAGAAACTTGCACAATGTTGAATAAGTAGTAGCTAAATTCAAAACTATCTTTCAGAAGATAATCAAAGCATATCCTCATAGCAAACAGCACATTCTCCTTCACACACACACACACACACACACACACACAGTAATAAAAAGGAGAAAAACAACAGTATGAAAATGATAAGGTAATATAAAAAGGGTTAAAGTCTTTAAAAATGCTGTCAGTTATAAGACTCTCTCCTCTACAATTCTGGGAAAAAACAACCACCCATTATTGATTGATTCTCCCTATTAAAAGTAACATGATCTGTTTCTTATAAATAATTACTTATGATTTATTTTTTAAATCCCTAAAATAAAGTGACTTAAGTTAAAAGGATAGGAAAAGATAAATCCATAATAGGCAAATAAAAAGAAATCAAGGGTGGCAAATAAAATTCAAAGCTTATATCTATCTTTTCCCTTTAAATATTGCTGTCTACCCTGCCCAATGCCACACCCAGTACCTAAAGGCAGGCAGTGTTGCCTGTTCTAGTTCACTGTTCTAGACTGATCCCTGTCCCCTTTTGACACGCTCCTCTTCCTCCTGTCGCCTTCAGGCTTTACCGGTAGGTGACTAGCCCTACAGTCTCCCTGGTGCCTTGGGACCATTGGTTTTGCAGTCCAATTCCACTGCTATGGATGGCCTCTTGGGAGCCTAATGTACTCCCCTGATTCGAGCAATCCTGGAGCCTGGAGAGTCCATTTCCAAGTCCAGTCCTATAAGTCCACCCATCAGAGGAGGGAGGTTTGGAAGTGTTCTTTGGAACTCAAGGCTCCCATGCCTCCCCTCCATCAGCAACATAGGGACATAATAGATGGGTGGCTGCCACCTTTGTATTGTGCGTCTAGGGCATGGTGCACATGGAATGGAAACACAGGCTAGGTGGCCAGCGCTACAAGTTTCTCATCAATTTTCAGGAGTTGGGGTGCAGGTGCTGCCTATGTCCTCAGACACCAACAACGTCCCTGTGCGTCTTTCTGCCTCTGGTGAGAGTGAAGAAGAAAGTGATTTAATGAGCCAGCTTCTGACTGAAAAATGCAGCTTCATCTCAACATCCAGGATGCCTTGCCAGTGGGAAATCTGAGAGGGGGCTTTTGTCACTTTCCCACAGTTGGACCGGCTGATAAAGTGGTGGACAGACCACCTTTGCAATTGCAAAGCCCTGTCCAGGGGGGTGACTCTGGGTTCTTTGGGCATTCTCTGGAACTTATCCAATAACTCCATCCACCAGGAGGAGGTGCTGAAAGATGGGTCTGCCGACTGCTGAGGTAGGAAGCATGGCCATGAAGGTACAGCATTCAGCTTCCAAGTGAAACAATACCATCAGCCCATTTTTGGAGTACTTGAGCAGGAAATAGCTGAATACACTAGCCTGGAGCCCAGAAGACCTCACCTGTCAGAAGGTACAGTGTGTGTTAGGTTTATCATGTAGCATGGAATCGAATGCGATTCATGCACACCCACAGGGCATTTCTTCCGAAAGGCAGTATGGGGAAAGGAACTTAGACACAGACTGTCTTTAAGGAGAACCACCCTGACCTTGCATTGTAGTCTCACTGGAGCCCTGGTCCTCCTGGGAGGAATGTGGGACTAAGGGTGAGAGGTACCTGTCTCCAGTTCTACCCCATCCTAAACTCGATGCATAGAAGTAGCTCTGTGGACCAACTTCTGATTCAATAGGTACAGTGGGTTCTCATCAATGTAAAAAAAAGAATTAAAAATACATGCATACATATATGCATACATACATACATACTGCCTGGAAACACTCAGCAATGCTAAATAATGATTATCTTTGCTCGTAGAACCATTGGAAATGACTTTCTTTATATTTCTTTTCTTTGTATTTTCCCTTATTTTTAAAATTTTAAAAAGCATGTATTGATTTTTAAATTGGAAAAATAAAATAAAGCTTCAAGAAGAAAGGACTAGACATTTTGGTCAGATTTTTAGCCTATTAACTCATGAGCTAATTAGGTTAGAACATTCAATGAGTAATTATTTGTTATTTATGATATTTGGAAGACTAATTTTCCTTTGGGTAAAAATGCCTTCTGCAGGAATTATGCAGTACACTCTCTTATCTCAGTTTACCCAATCTAACTAAGACTAGATCCATCCGAATGGAAACATATGAAACCCTACCCCCACCCCACCCCTCCAGCTCCAGACACCTCCTTCCCAGAAAGCAAACCCAGGCCCTGACTCATCTTTCCAGGGAAATAACACATTATTTTGTGACAAATGATGTCATCAGTATCACCAGGGACCATGGTACTCATTACAAAGGGCCTCTGGATATAGTTAATGTTTTCTTAATTATCCCAAATGGTTGACATTTTAAGATGTTTACTTGCTTCTGGCTTACCACTGAGTGATTCTTTAGTCATCTACTGGATGACTAAAAAGACACTTTAATATACTAGAGGGTCAACACAGAGCCCATGGGAAATTACTGAACTGGGTAAATGCAGAATCCTAAAAGTCATCCTTTCACTATACTCCACATAAGAGTACCAAAGACCTAGGTTAGGTTGGGCCACTTACAAAATGTTTAGACTTTGAAAGAGAGAATTCAAAGTCTGAAATGTGTTTTATATTGTAAAAAACCTAAAGTTACCAAATTTCCTGTTTGCAACATAAACTCAAAATTCTTGTTCATGTTGTGATGCTCCATGGCCAAGAAGAGAGTGTTGATTATGATGCAGATGGTGATGACCAGCTCAGTAAACGGGTCGGTCATCACGGTTCTCAAGACCTTCTTAAAGCGTAGCCACTGGGGACTACAGTTCCAGATGAGGTATTTGGATGCCAGATTTTTCCCACATGGGAGGCAAGGCTCCTGGGATTTTTCTTGTTCTGGAGAAGGAGAATGAAAGAGCAGTTGAGGAGTGATCTCTGAACTGGTCTGGCTGCTTTTTGTATTCCTTCCTCCCTCTTCCCCAGGGTCTCTTGTGACACAACATGACCAGCCAAGAAGGGCACTGACTGGTGTAGCCAGAAAGGTTTTCCACATACAACTTGCTTGTGGTATAATCAAGTATATCAAGTCTTTATGCTTGTATACAAGTCATTATATTGTGAACCCCTGGGAGAGAGAGACACAAGCCCATGCTATGTTCACTCGAGGCAGACCATGCTGACAGCTATAACAGGGGCACAAGAGCTTTCAGGGCTCAGGGGCAGGAGAGATATTCAGACAGGAGCACCTTTACTCAGAGACAAGCAGCACTCTATAATCTGGATGAGTTCAGGTCTGAAAGCAGCTGTAGTTCTGATTTTCCTGGAACCATTTCAGAGACTCATGCAGGCCAAATGAGGTGATTCAATAGGCACAATAGGCTAAGTGATCCATTTGACCCTCTCCTTACAGTGACTTGAGTCCTGTCCTTGAACACCCACCCTTTAGTTGGTCCTTATTACTTGCTGTTAACCAGGTCCATCAGATGGATCCAGCCTGCTTACGCAGGTCTCCTATGTCCATGCCACATTCCTAACTCTAACTTCAATGATAACTGCCACCTACTAGAAATTTCTATGTCTTCTCTTCTAGGCTGTGTATCATTGTCACTGAGACCTCCTGTGACTGCCTCGCCCAATCAAGAGATTCTGTGTGTGCTCTTGTCCTATCCAAGTGCCAACTCAAGGTGGGCCTATAGGGAAGACCCCTTCTTCCAAACCACTTTGCTCACATGCTCCAAAAAGGCACAGGAAATCACTCTTTGCAAGAAGTATGTGGGTTGCAGAGGGCTTTGGGGGGGGGAGGGGAGGAGAACGATGAAGAGAGGAAGAATGGAAGGATATGATTGAAGTTAGGCTCTCCCTTGGGCTAGGAAGCAGAACTTACCCTGCATGGTGATGGTGAGGATGCTAACAGCACTCAGCGCCCTCTGCCTTTGAAAGGGGTCTCTGTGCTCCTCACAGAAATCCACTGACAGGTTCTGAGACAGTCGTTTGGTTTGCTCTAGGAGGTATGGCTATAAAAAAGGACATGGTGGCCCTTCTAAGGGAAGAGGCCACCTCTCTTCAAAACTTCACAAACTACTGAGTTTCAATGCCACATACAACAAAGATGTTCAATATTTTACATAGGTTGACTCATTTCAAGATGATGACAGATGTTCAGTTCTCTTATTTCATATATAATAAATAAGAGAAATATGGTTTGACCACTCATGTTTCTTATGGGTGCACATATCTATAGGCCTATGTATGGAACTTTTTTTCTCTGTGATTTATTCATTGTCAACAAAAAGCAAACAGAAATTTACAAAAACTAATCAACATACCAATGATTGCTGGCAACCCATCAAAAGCTAAGAATGGGGAAGGAAGAGTTTGCCTTAGACGCTCCAGAGGAAGTTTGGTCCTACCAACAACTTTATTTTGGATTTCAAACTCAAAGAATTATATAACAATAAACATTTGCTGTGTGGTGTGTTTTTTTTCAAGCAAAACAAAAAAAACCAATAATGAACAGTGATTCAGGGTATGAAAGCAATGAAAAATCTAATTTGGAAACAATGCTTAAGAGGGAGAGATAAATTTAGAAAGGTGGATTGGAGCCAGACAGTGAAGTGCCTTAAATACTACCTAAATAGATTTGGAAACAGTAGCTGAAGAGAACAATCAAATATCACAAGATCTATGTACTAATCCTCAAGCACTCTCTCAGGCTGTGCTCAAGAGCTTACTTACCTATAATTCTAAATTCTCTGGAGATTAAAGAACATAAACCTTCAGCTATCCAGGAACCTCGAGCATCCATAATGACTTATTTCCCAAAAGTTCTGACCAACCAGAGCCCCAGAGGGAACTATTCCTCTGTGATCACCTGTTCAAAAGGCAACCTGTAATCTTTATATAGCTATCTCCTGTTCTAATTAAAGGGCAAAGACACTTTATATTAGGTGTCTGGGTCTTTGTCTTTGTGGAACAAGGAGAAACTTTCAAAATACTAAAAAAGTATTTGCAGATCTAGCCGGTTTGGCTCAGTGGATAAAGTATTAACCTGCAGACCAAAGCTCTCAGGTTTGATTCTGGTCAAGGGCATGTACCTAGATTGCAGTCTCCTCCCCGGCCTGGGCCCTGGTCGAGGCTTGTGCAGGAGGCAACCAATCGAAGTGTTTCTCTCACATTGATATTTCTCTCTGTCTTTCCCTCTCTCTCTTCTACTCTCTCTAAAACTCAATGGAAAAATATTCTCCGGTGAGGAATTTTTTTAAAAGAAGTATTTGCAGTCTCTTCCATATGCTGTGTTCTGACAGGAAAGAAGCCTCTATACTCTGTCACTCCATCAGAGAACTATTCACAGCAGTAGATGATATCTGTTCATCTACTTCTGCAAAGGCCCCTCAACTCCCTCCCCCCCAACACTCCCAGATCCTCAGGCATGCACACACACCTGCTGCCCACATCCTCTCCCTCCCATCCCAGGAAAGTGGCTCTAGTCATTAGTCCATGGCCTTATCCTCAACATTTTCCCTGTTTCTGACTCCTTTGTCCACAAGTAAAACATGTTTCAACATCTCCCAACTTAATGATAAGAATAGCTTTTTACTAGTATTTTCTATTGCACATTCCCCAGTAACTTCATTTCTGTATATCCAATTGGCTTCTCTGCTTGGATGATCCATAAGTACATCAAACTTGACAGTCCCAAACTGAACTTGCTATCTTCAACATCCCCAGGACAAGTTCCTTTCCTGTCTCCGTAAATTACCCTCCATCAAGTCAACCACCAAAGCTATAAACTGGGCATCATCCCTACTCTCTATATCTAGTCAACTGCCAAATTTTACCTTCTTCAGATCACTGTACTCTGTTAATCTGTTCATCTCTCTTCATCCCCCCTGCTCTCACCATAGTTTAAGCCACTGTCATTGGGTTGGTTATCTGAAGCAGAAGCTGTTGTTGGCCTCATCCATATGTCCTTGGGCCTTACCTGAAGGCTTTCTCTTGTTACCTGAACCCCCTCTGCCCTACTATACAGCAAGTTAGAAATACAGAAAAATTATTGTCTTTTCACCCTAGCAGTCTTTAACCAATGATGGACCAAAGTTGGTGTATACATATCCTATCGCCCCCGCTCTAGGGAAGTTAAACTACAAGTATCATCAGTGGCAAATGGCTTGATATTGCACTTCCTTTGGCTACCCTCTCTTCCATTTTTTTGCTTCTCTCCTCCCCTCTTAGTGCTTCCTGGGATCACTTTCTAAGTAATCTACTTGCACTCTAATGTCTCAGGGTTTGCTTGGGAGGGAACACTGTTCTCCCACAGCAATCATCACGTCAGTCATCACATTGAACAGCAACTGCCTCCTTTTTAGTGTATCTTCATCATTAGTTGTTTGTCTTATATATCTCATGTATCCCTATCTCCGACCCCAGTGCCATGCAGATAGTAAACACTGTCTACATTTTAAGTAGATATTTGGAAATAATGGGTAACTGAATAGACACATGGGTGAAGGAAAGTGTATGCAAATGGAGGAGTGGATAAATGAGTAAATAAGTGAATGAATCCTTTCAATTAGATTGACAACTTGACCCATCATTAATTCCTTGACCAACACTTACCTTTTTGGGGGAATCTTCGTCAGAATCTGATCCTAGAACCTGTTCTTTCCCAGGCTCTCTGAAAAAGAAGGACTTCCTTTTCTTATTACCAAATAGCTTTCTCTTCTTTGGGGAAAAAGATGATGCTTCAAGGGAATTAAGTGAACTTCTGTCAATTCCCATGGCAACCAGAGCCTTAGAAAAGGAACAAACGTAATTAATAAACAGGTTATACCTCCCTATGAAACACTACAAATGACCTCAACCTTTGTGAGCACTCTCTCCCTGTTTCGGTAGCGCTGTGCCATGCAGATTGCTCATCACCTAATTGGAATATGCTAGCTTTGTCATTATTTATCTGGGGAACACGTCCTGTTTGTCCAAAGAGATTGCAGCTCTCAAAGGCAGAGTAGACTCTTTCATATCTCTGTATCACTAACCCTTAGCACAGTGTCCAGTATGTGCCAGGAACTCGATAAATGTATGTGCCTATGATGCAGATATTAAGGACATACAATAGGTTTCCCCCTGAGATATATCTATGGAAGGTGAGGAGTATAAAAAATGGTCCCTGCCCTGGCTGGCTTGGCTCAGTGGATAGAGCGTCAGCCTGAGGACTGAAGGGTTTCAGGTTCGGTTCCGGCCAAGGGCACATGCCTGGGTTGCGGGCTTGATCCCCAGTGGGGGGGGTGCAGGAGGCAGCCGATCAATGATTCTCTCTCATCATTGATGTTTCTATCTCTCTCTTCCTTTCCCTTCCTCTCTGAAATCAATAAAGAAATAATTTTTTTTAAAAATGGTCCCTGCCCTGAAAATCTTAGAATTGAACTGGAAAAATCTAAAGATACCAGCAAAGCAATGAGAATGGCGTATCTATGTGACAGGAATTTTAAGAAGGGAGAGATGATTATGCCTGTTGTCTCTAGAGCCACCATTATTGACTTCCCAGACTCTCTCAAGCAAGGCCCTGAACATAAACATCTCCAGATTCCCACAATAAAATCTAGAGCAGAACCTGGAGTATCTATCTCTATCTCTATCTCTGTCTACCTCTTCTAGCCAGCAATTTGGAATCTGTCCTAGAAGATTCAGGTTTCAGAATCTAAACCAAGGGTTCCCTGTTCCCAAGAGCCCTGTGCCTAGACATCTTAGTGAGAGATAGCAACAGAGCCAGTCTGCAAGGGGTTTAAATTCTCAGAAAAGCACCAGTATGTCGAGTGCTGTGATCAGGCCTCATACAGCAGCCTGAGCCTCAGGTCCCATGGCCCCTGGAGTCCCCCTAAGTAGAGCCCACAGTCTGACCCCATAAGCCCCTACCTCCTTTTCCTCTCTTAACAGTTGCTGAGCTTCCTGGAACATCTTCTCCTTGGCCTCCGTCTCAGCAGTTACGTTCCTGTTCTGTTCCTCATAAGCCATGGTGACAACAGCCAGGGTTAAGTTAATCAGGTAGAAAGAGCCCAGGAAGATGACCACCACAAAGAAGAAGACTGCAAAGGGCCCCGAGGTACGCAAGGTCTGCAAGGGACAGAGCACATGTTGGCATCTGAAGCCTTCTTCCACATAGCGGTGACCATCATTTCAAGGAGAAATTATACAGTACCAATTGGTCTTCCCCAGCAGTAGTTGGCTCAGCTGCCCACAGCCTCATCTACAGCCTCCCCAGTTACCCAGGGACTCCTGATGCCCTATCTCTCGAGGAGAAGATGCCATCCATCCATTCCCATGGAAGTCTCAGTGAATTTCCTATGAATTTCTCCAAAGTATTTGCATTTTAAAATTAAGGAGGCAAGAACGACAGCAATGCTTCATGGAAACTGAAGCACTAGTGGTGGAACTTCAGGCAGGAGGGGATATGGAGAACTGTCATATTTCTAGGAAGAGAAAGGTGTGTGCACTATTCTTTCATATATCATGTTTATCATTTTTATGTTCCTAATAGAATTTATAAAGCATAATGTAACAGTACCACTGTTAAGGCGGGGAATAGGTGACAAAGGTGAAGAACAGATGGTAGGTTATAAATAAATGATAGATATTTCTAGAGAGAAAATAAAAATAATAGATAACCTGTCGATAAAGCTTCTCCCAGGAATCTTGGGTCATAAGCCGGAACATGGCAAGAAAAGACCAGCCAAAGTTGTCAAAATTTGTAAAGCCATAGTCAGGATTCTTTTTGGTGTGCCTGCATTCAAACTGCTGGGAACAGGCTCTAGATATGGGAAACAAGGGAACAGAGAAATAACAACTTCACCCCACCCCATAGCACTGGTTCATCTGAGGGCCATGGGCTCACACCCAAAAGTCTTGGGTGAAGTCAGCATTTGTAGAGTGGCCATCCCTGACTGTCAACCCTCCCAGCCTATACCTTATTGTGGGTACCCATTGACTCTTTCCAAATAGGTTGATTAGGAAATTTATATTAGCTAGTTTTTCATTGAAAATTTAAGTGCAGTGACATAGTGAGCAATTAACAGTAGCAAAGGTCATACAATAAATATCAAGTCTCCCTCTCCCCCTAAACCCCCAGTTCTACTTCCTAGAGGCAACAGTTTAACTTACTTTGTGACTTTCTAGAAGTGTCTATGATTATAGAAGCACATATATATCAATACATATCTTCTATAATACATATATGGAAGCATTCTTTAAACACTCTCATGCACCTTGCTTTTTTCATGGAGCAATATAGCTTGAGGATCTTTCCATATCAGCATACAGGGAGATACCCCATTCTTTTCATGTCTTACAATCCCATGATTTATCTAACTGCTTGACTAATGATGAATATTTACATTTGTTAACACTCTTTTGCCTTTACAAACATTTGGGGTTTACTCTACAAACGATGGATATCTTGTACACAGGTCTTTGCCCACATCACCAGAACACACATTGTTAAGTGTATCTTTATGATACACTAAGGATGTGCACTTCCTTTTTTGTTTTAACCTCATCCGATGATATGCTTTTATTGATTTTTAGAGAGATAAGGAGAAGGGAGGAAGAGAAAGAGAATCATTGATCAGTTGACTCCTGTACTCACTCCAACTGGGGATCAAACCCAAAACCCACTCCAACCGGGGATCAAACCCACAACCTAGGTATGTGTGTGCCCTGACCTGGAATAGAACCCACAACTTTTTGGTGTATGGGACAACACTAAACCAACTGAGCCACCCAGTCAGGGCATGCGCTTTCTTAATTTTTAATAAAAATAGTATTTTTATCAAAGTAAAGCATATGTGGTTTAAAAATCACATGGCACCTATGCTTATAATAAAAATCATGCCATCATTCTTTAATAATCACTTACACATCCCAAATTCAACAACTTTTAAACATTTTACATCCACATCTCTAAATATAATCCTTATACTAATATTTAATTGATCAATTTTAGCCCTTGTTGATTAAGTTTCTGCTATGCTGGTTGATCCCATCCTGCTTCATCACTATTTGTATCGCTTTTCATAGAAAAGTACTGTGGCCCATGTCAACGGCTCTCTTGGGTCGAATACATTTTTTTCTTGGCTCATGTGTTTCTCTTTCCAAGTTTTACTTCCTCACTTTTCTGGAGCAGATCTCAAGTAGCTTCCTAAGAAGACTGGTGGCTTTGCATATATGAGTATAACTTTATTCTAGCTTCATAGTTGATTGCCTAGAAATCGAATTCTACATTGAAAATTATTTTTCCTTAGAAATATGAAGGCACTGCTCAGCTACTATCCTGTATTGCTAGTGGGAATTCTGATCTCATTTTAATTTTTATTTGTCGATTACCGTTTTCTCTTTGGTTTTAAGATCGTTTCCCCCAAAGATTCTGTAATGCCACAATAATGCACTTGGCATGGTCCTTTTTCATATGTTGTGTTGGGCACTTTATGGGACACCAAGGGAGTTGCATTCGTAATCCCAGGGAAATTCTCTGTATTATTTCTCTGCTAATTTCTTCCTTTTTGTTTTTTTCTGTGCTCTATTTCTTGAATTCCTACTTTTTCAAAAGTTAGAACTTCTGGATTGGTATTTATTATGATATTTCTGTCTCTGTCTTTTGTTACTACTTTCTGGGCTATTTACGCAACTTTATCTTTTAATTCTACTAATGATTTTTGTAATCATGTTAATTTTTTAATTTAACAATGCACATCTAAACTTGCTTAGACATGAAAAAATCAGTACTGTTTGAGAACTTTCATCACTGCCTTCCACAATCATTGGGTGAAGACTGCTTGCCACATCACTTTAAAGCAGCGGTTCTCAACCTGTGGGTCGCGACCCCTTTGGGGGTCGAAAGACCCTTTCACAGGGGTTGCCTAAGACCATCGGAAAACACATATATAATTACATATTGTTTTGTGATTAATCACTATGCTTTAATTATGTTCAATTTGTAACAATGAAATTGGGGGTCACCACAACATGAGGAACTGTATTAAAGGGTCGTGGCATTAGGAAGGTTGAGAACCCTGCTTTAAAGGATCTAGAGTTGCTCTGCTTGAGAGAGAAATGGAAAATATAAGCTTCTTACCTATTACCCAACCAGGTGCCACACAACCTGAATTCAGTGGAATCATTCTTTTCAAAGCAATAGTCTGAGAAGAAAAGAATCATAAGTTCAGATTTTTTTTAAAAAGAAACCACTGAAATGAAAGAGAACAGCAAATATGCCAGGTTATACTTGAAACAGATGGTTCAGAACTCTCTGAAGAGATCAAAGTGGATGTCCAGAGAGAAACTGGAGGGAACCTAGGCCATCAGAAAGGAGCAAGAGAAAAGGAGGGAAAGGAGAGAGGAAGAAAGAGGAGGAGGGAAAGCAGTGACATCACCACCGCTTTGCCTTCGGGACATAAAACTGGTGAGACCACCCCGTGAAGTGGACACAGACTCAGCCCATGAGAAGCTCATAAGCCCAGACAGACATGAAGAAAGCGGAGCCACGTGAGATTCGGCACATGAAATAGGAATAGGGTCACCTCTAGTGTGAAGAGGGCGCAAAGCAAAAAGAAATGATACCATCAAAGAAAATACTCAGGACTGTGGACTGGGCACTTGCTGGTTTGCTTTGGCCAAATCCAGGCATTCTGAAGACTTCTGTAAAACATGTCAAAGAAGTGGGCAGAAATCTCTGTGGAAAAGGATGGGAGCTGACACTGTTCTTATGGATGTGACTTTGGGCTTTTTTTTCTCCATAGAAACCCACAGAATGAGGCAATTCTCTAAGACATGCATCTGCCTGCAGGAGAACCCTGGATAGATGAGGTTACCCCCTGCTCCTAAGAGACTCTGTAATGCACACATATAAATGGTATGAGTGGGAATAAAACAAAATTAACTATGCACAAACTAAGGAATAAAAAGTAGGGTATTTACCGTCAGGGTTACTGATGTTCTCGCAGTCCTTCTTGACACATTTCAGGTTCAGAGTTCCCATGAAGAGCTGCTGACCTACCAGGGCAAAGATGCTGAGGCAAAAGAGAGTCAGGATCAACACGTCAACAAGCTTCTTCACAGAGCGCAGCAAGGCCCCCACAATGACCTTCAGACCTGAGGAGGAGGACAGGTGTGGAGAGAAGCCCCCACTCAGACACAGGCTAGAGGCAGACACAGGAGGGAGCAGCCACGGCCTCGGAAGCTATCTGATTGCAGGCTGGAACTGGAAACAGGCCTGGCCTAGGATTCTGATGCCATGAGTTCTAGTTCCAACTCTGTGCCTTAGAGGTTGTGTGTCATCAGAGTACTCCACATGTCTAGGTCTCAGCTCCCCATCCCCGCCCTAGGTCTGCCACAGGGGTGCTCTGAAAAACAAATGAGAAGACCTTGAGCAGAAACATGCCATATGAGAGTAACTATGACAACAGTGTAGGCACCACCACAGCTGAAGGGGAGGCACATATATCATTAAGGTTAGAATGAGGCCATCCAAGAAAAGGAGCCATGGTTATATTTAACATTTGGTAGTCACTACCTACTACAAGGTATATGAGGTGTCAGGGGCAGGAAGCTGAAAGAGGAGCTTTGTCTGGACTCAAATAATAAGGATGTCCTAGGGAAAAAACCTCTCAGATTACTAGTTATAATATGGTTGCTTTTTCATTCATTCAAAAAAAATTTACAGAGCACCTACTGTGTCCATGGCACACTGCTAGAATGCCAAAGTTACAAATAAGAACATAGTCTTATAGTATGCTGGCAAATATTTAAAATCAGTTCCCGGGGAGGACAGAGTGGGGAGGGGGGAAGGAGGGTATGGGAAACGCTTCATTTAAAGCATTTATAGATTTCCTTGTTTGCTGAATTCCGTAGTGTAGATTCCTCCTCTCCTTCCATATACCCCTTCCCCCTGGTTTCAAGTTACCAGCATGATGTACCAGCAGAGTTGGAAAAGATGTGCACAATCTGGTGAGGAGCCACAAGTCAGCCTAGCTCACGACTGAGTCATGGGCTCTGCTCTCAACACAGCTGGAGAGATAACCAGATGTGAACTATAACAGGTGGGATGACACTACCCGACAAAGTTTCAATTGATTCGTGTAAACCATATATGGTAGACTGGAGAACACAAGGCAGAAGCAGCCCTACGTAGATAACCTTCCCACAAAGTGTAATGTCACATGGGGAGAAGCCTTGAGGCCAAGCTGGGGCATTTGCTCTGTCCCCAGTTGCAGTCAAACAAGAAATTGCTATAACCTCATCCAAGTCCAAATTTCATCTATAAGAGACTTGCGTCTTCTCCAGTGCAAGAAGAATTGAATGAAAGAAGATGGTTGTGATTCCTAAATAAGTTTTACATAGTCCCTTAAAAGATTGTGCCTTACACCTTCACTTCCAAAAAACATCCAGAGATCCCATGTGCTCATGAGTCATACGGGAGACTATAGTCACCTGCTTAGAGATGAAAAAGGAGACAATAAAGCCACTAAGTGACTGCCTCAGTATATATTTTACCTGTATGATACTACGAGGGACTCAGCTCATGCAGAGAGCCCCTAAATCTACCTGGGAAACCAAGGTCCACTTTGCAAAAGAAGAAGAGGAGGAGGAAGAGAGACAAATTCTACGTAATTGTCCTCTGACTGCCAGTTTCCTTATCACTGTGTAATTACTTTTATGGAGTTTCAAAAAATAACCCATTGCTCTGTTTGAAAAGACCCAAATTGCCTATATAGTTCTGATACAGTAGCTCAGCCATTAATATAAGGGATAGAGGGGTAGGAAAGATGGAAGGTGGGAAAGAACTCCAGAAAGGGATTTTTTTATAATGATTTTTTTTGTAGAGGAAAGAGGAAGGAAAGAAGAGTGTACCATAATAACCTCGTTTTTAATAAACTGGAATTCATAGTTAACCACCCATCTTTGTCTTCGTCCTGATTCACAGAGCACCTTCCTTACCTGGCTTCCTTGAGACCACCTTTGCTTTCCTTCCTACTTTCCTGTGGCTCCTGTTCATTGCCTTTCCTGGTGACTCCTCTTCGCCCCTCCCCTTAGGTTGCAGGCTCCAGGACTCAGACCTTCACCCTCTTCTAGTCTCCATCTGTGCTTGTTCTCTTGGTGATCTCATCAGATTTTATAGCTCTCGATACCATCTATAGGCTCATGATTTCAAAAATTATATCTCCAGCCCATACTGTTCCCTGAAACTCCCAGCTCATATATAACTGCCCACTTAAAACTTTCATTTGGATGTCCCACAGCCATCTCAAACAGAACATGTCCAAAATGAACTCCTACCCTGACCGCCAAGACCTGCTCCTCTCATGGTCTTCCCTGTTTCAGTCAATGACGACTTCATCTTTCCAGTCACTCAGGCTAAAATCCTTGACCCACCCTTGACTCTTTTCTTTTGTTTACACCACATACAATCAACCTATCAGGAAATTCTATTGTTTCTACCTTCAAATGTATACAGAATGTGACTGCTGTCCACCAACTCCTCTACCACCAGCTGATCTGAGAGCACCACCATTTCTTGCCTGGATTGTGGCAGTGTCCCCTTGTGTCAGTGTGGGTTCTCTGGGAAGCAGGCACTATGGGATCAGATTGCAAGAGACTGGTTGGGTGAAATGCCTGTGAAAAATAAGCAGGAAGGAGTAGAGTTGGCAGGGAGAGCCCGAATGTGACACAGGGCTGACACGTGGGAAAGGAGAATAAGAAGGAAGCATGATTGGACAGGACAAGCCTCAGATTAGTGCTGATGTGACAGTCTCAGCCAGGTTGCTGGGGAGCCCCTAAGCTAAAGTCCCCCAATAGGGAAGTCCCACATCCTTCCTCTAGCCCAGCTTGTATGGGTCAGTGGTTGAGTGTTGACCTGTGAACCAGGAAGTTACTGTTTGATTCCCAGTCAGGGCACAGGCTTGGGTTGTGGGCTCAATCCCAGTAGGGGGTGTGCGGGAAGCAGCTGATCAATGATTCCCTCTCATGGTCGATCTTTCCTTCTCTTTCTCCTTCTCCCTTCCTCTCTGAAATCAATAAAATTAAAAAAGAATAGTGTTCCCAATATGTAGGGAAAGTACAATCTTGGCATGAACATGAATGCAGTGGTAAATCCAGACAGATGGCAGCTGAGACCATTAGTCAACTATGGTCCTTGCAGTAGGAGATCTGAGCGGCACATTTCCATGGCAACGACATGCCTCCCACTGGGTTCCTGCTTCTACCTTTGCTCCCCCACATTCTAGTCCCCACACAAAGTAATCTTTTCAAAACCTGAGTCAGGTCATGCAACTCCTCTGCTCAAAGCCCTCACCTGGCTCCCATTTGTTTCAGAGCAAAGCTCAAATCTTCCCAGCACTTACATGCCTCCCCTTCACTTTGGTGTTCCCACCTCCATCATCTGGCTCCTCACTCTGTCTGCTCAAGCCTCATTTGTATCCTTCCTATCCCCAGTCTTTGGACTGTTTCCTATCCCCAGAATACTCTTTACCATATATCTGCTTGTGAAACTATCATGTCCTTAAAATCTGCTCACATCTCACCTTCTCAATGACACCCATCCTAACCACTCTATTGAAAACTGCAACCTGTTTCTCCTACTGTGACTTTCAGTAGCTCTCATGTTGTTTACTTTTCCTTTTTGTTTGTATTTTTTTATGGCACATATCACTTTCCAACATGCTGGATAACTTATTACTAGAGGCCCGGTGCACAAATTCATGCACCAGTGGGGTCCCTCGGCCTGGCCTGCAGGATTTGGGCTGAAACCAGCTCTCTAACATCCTCCCAGGGGTCCCAGATTGCAAGAAGGAGCAGGCCAGGCCAAGGGACCCCACCGGTGCACAATCGGGGCCAGGGAGGGATGCAGGAGGTTGGCCAGCTGGGGAAGGACTGTGGAAGTGCTCCAGGGTGTGTCCGGCCCATCTCACTCAGTCCCAATCAGCCGGACCCCAGCAGCAAGCTCACCTACTGGTTGAAGCATATGCCCCCTGGTGGTCAGTGCATGTCATAGAGAGCCACTGAGCGGCCTTAGCATATCATTAGCATATTATGCTTTGATTGGTTGAATGGCTGACCAGCCGACAGGACACTTAGCATATTAGGCTTTTATTATATAGGATAATTATTGTTTAGGGTCTGTCTCCCCACCCCCCACATACAATGTAAATTCCATGAGGGCAGGGATCTTTGTCTGTTTGCTCACTGATATATCCCAAGCAGCTAGCATAGCACCTGCACAATACACATTTGTTGAACAATCAAATAAAAAGTAAAAACAGAGTTGGTTTGTTGGTTTGTTTGTTTGTTTGATTTTGGTTTATATGACATTTGGAGAAATTTTAAATATAAAAGAATGTTCTCTCCCACTAAGAGTAAATGTTGAAAGTTAAAGTGACTTACCTGAAACTACTGAAATTGCTTTCAAAGCTCTGAACACTCGGAAGGTACGCAGGGATGACAGACTGATGCTGTTGGCCTTCATAAATGGTAATAATGACACAAACCTACAAGACAAGGCACAGGAAAAGCTCAGTCCTGCGGCTGCACTGCACACCACCATAGGCACAAGTAAGCATAGCCTAGGCCCTGGGTCCACAGAGGTGAAATCTGGGGACTCACCTTCCCAAGCCCACTTTCATCTCAGGGTCTCCTAATATTCTATTTTGCTATGGACCAGAGATTGCACAGGTGGCTGTTCTCAACTAATCTTTATATTTGGACAAAGGTAAGGATTCCTTGAAATAGTTGTGACTACATCCACGCTTAATATAAATCAATTGAAACGTTTATTGATTGGCCCCAGGCACTTCCCTAAGGTCTCAATATGTGGCCAAGCCCATAAGGTACACAAGTGGTCTGTCTCCTGGGCCCATACTGTTCACTGCTATACTACACCACCTTTCAGTAGCTAAGAGCACCCGATTGTAGACCTTCAAATGTAAAACTCTGAAATGAATAACAACTACCTCAAAGGGCTTTGGGGAATATTAAATATGAAAATATATGCAAGTGCTTAAAATAATGGCTGGCTTGACAACTTAATTAAAGGTTTGTTGTTACTGTGTTGGCAATAGACCATTTCTTTTCTTGCTTTTTATTTTGCTGACTCTGCCTCATCATTCAGATGCCAAACTGATGTCCCTTCCTTCAGGAAGAACTTCAATTTTTACCTGTCATATACAATATACACAGTATTGAACTCAAAATGGACCATGGACTTCAACATAAGAGTCAAAACTATAAAAATTCTAGAAGGCAACATGAGAGAAACTCTTTGTGTCCTTGTAGTAGCTAAAGATTTTTTAGACTCCTTGGTTCCTCCTACATGCTTTGGCAGCCCAATACATACTCTGACAGCCCCATATATGCTCTGGCAACCTGATACATACTCTGACAGCCCCATATATGCTCTGGCAGCCTGATACATACTCTGACAGCCCCATATATGCTCTGGAAGCCCAATACATGCTCTGACAGCCTGATACATGCTCTGACAGCCTGATACATGCACAGCTCCTATCTTAACGCTCACCGTGCCAGATTGTAATGGTCACTGATTGTTTCTCTCTCATCTGGACTGAGAATGAGGTATGTTTGTTTGTTTTGTTTTTTCATTATCACAAGCCCTGTATCTTACACAGAACCTGGCTCATAGTGTTTGGTGAATGAATGACTGAAGGAATGAGAACATGAGGGTTGGCCTAGAAATGGCTTTGTGCATGGATGCCTCTGGCCAACTGACTACATGGTACTGTTCAGGGTCAACCAACACTGCCCTCAGAGCTCTAAGGCATTACTAGACCACACTTAGCTACTCATGTGGATTCACACAGAGCCCTGATGTAAGCCAAAGGGGCTTCTTTCCCACCCCAAGTCTCTTCATTAAAAATCTTTAACATTCTTACGCTGTTGCAATGACAATGGAGTCCAGCCAGTTCCATGGATCTCGAAGAAAAGAAAACTCATCCAGGATAAAACCTCTTGCCAATATTTTTATCAAAGCTTCAAAAATATAAATCCCAGTGAAGATATACCTACAAAGCAAATCATTCAGAACAAGAAAGAATATAAGTGATGTGAAAAGCAGAGAGCCTGCCTGTCTTATCTGGCCTTGATTAGGTTTTATCCATTTCAGTGTGACATTTAACATTCTGGTCTTTAGCAAACCAGAGTTCAGAAAGACAAGCTCCTCAAGCAAGTTCCGGTATTAGAATTTCTGAAAAACAGGCCCATGGATAGAGTTGTAAAGCCACTTTACAATGCCTCGCTTCACAGCGACATCCTTGAGCAGAGTTTCAGCCAACATGGGGCCCTGAGACTTGGGAATATGGTTTGTCACTGCTTTTCTGCAGTTGTCACTCATGTACAGAAGGAGATGATGGCAAAGGAAAAAGAAAGTAAACCTAAGGCTAAAAGCTAAATCTTTCCACATCCCATGTTCATAGATTGGAAGAGTTAATGTTGTTAAGGTGTTCATACTACTCAAAGTGACCTATAGATTCAATGCAATCCCTATCAAAATCTCAATGACATTTTCTACAGAAATAAAAAAAAAATGCATCCTGAAATTCATGTAGCTATCTCAAGGAACCATGAATAGCCTAAACAATCTTGGAAAAGAACGAAATCTGAGGTCTCACACATCATTATATAAAAACCTATCAGAAAGCTAAAAAATCAAAATTGGACTAGAAAGCCCAGAAATATGTCCTCACATATATGGTCAAATGATTTTCAACAAGGGTGCCAAAACTATTGAATGGAAAAAGAACAGTCTCTTCAACAAAATGATGCTGGGAAAGTTCAATATCCACATTCAAAAGGATAAAGTGGGACCCTTATCTTACATCATGTACAAAAATTAACTCAGAATAGATTAAGAGCTAAACGTAAGACCAGAAAGTATAAAACTCCTAGAATAAAATATTTTCAAATCATTTATCTAATGAGAGGTTAATATCCAGATTACATAAAGAACTTCTATGATTCAACAACAAAATATCAAATAATACAATTTAAAAATGGTCAAACTGCCCGGCCGGTATAGTTCAGTGGTTGAGCGTTGACCCAACAACCAGGAGGTCCCAGTTTGATTCCTGGTCAGAGCACATGCTAGGTTGCAGGCTCAATCCCCAGCAGGGGGCATGCAGGAGTCAGCTGATCAATGATTCTCTCTCATCACTGAATTTTCTCTCTCTTCCCCTCCCTTCCTCTCATTAAAATTAATTTTTAAAAAAACTTTTAAAATGTGGTCAAACTACTTGAATGATATTTCTCTAAGGATGATATACAAAAGGCCAACAAGAATAAGAAGAGATGTTCAATATTACGAATCATCAGGGAAATGCAAATCAAAACCATCATGGTTTATTACTTTGTATCCATTAGGATGGCTGCTTTAAAAAAAAACAAAACAGAAAATAACAAGTGTTTATGAGGATATGGAGAAACTAAAACCCTTATGCACTATTGGTGGGATTGTAAAATGGTGTAACCACCATGGGAAATAGTATGGAGGTTCTTCAAAGAAATTAAAATAGAATTGCCATATGATCCAGCAATCCTACATCTGGGTATATATACAGAAAAATAGAAAGCACAGTGTTGAAGAGATATTTGTACACCCATGTTTATAGCAGCACTATTCACAATAGTCAAGAAGTGGAAGCAACCCAAATATCCATTGATCCAGATGAATAGATCAATAAAATGTGGTATATACAATGGGATATTATTCATCCTTTAAAAGGAAGGAAATCCTGTCACATGCTACATGGATGAACCAAGGTTCAACACAGATGAACCTTGAGGTCATTATGCTAAGGGAAATAAACCAGTTACAAAAAGGCAAACACTGTATGATTCCTCTTATAGGAGGCATCTAGAGCAGTCAAATACCACACAGAGATGGAAAGTAGAATGGTGTTTGCCAGGAAATGAAGGGGAGGGCAGAATGGGGAGTTATTGTTTAACTAGAGGCTCAGTGCATGAATTCATGCACCAGTGGGGTCCCTCGGCTGGCCTGCAGGATTTGGGCTGAAACCAGCTCTCCAACATCCTCCAAGGGGTCCCAGATTGCAAGAGGGAGCAGGCCAGGCCGAGGGACCCCACTGGTGCACAATCGGGGCCAGGGAGGGACACAGGAGGTTGGCCAGCTGGGGAGGGACCATGGAAGGGCTCCAGGGCATGTCCGGCCTGTCTCACTCAGTCCCGATCGGCCGGACCCCAGCAGCAAGCTCACCTACTGGTCAGAGCATCTGCCCCCTGTTGGTCAGTGAACATCATAGCAAGCAGTTGAGCGGCCTTAGCATATCATTAGCATATTATGTTTTGATTGGTTGAACAGACGACTAGACAACTAGACACTTAGCATATTAGGCTTTTATTATATAGGATGGGTACAGAGTTTCAGTTTTGCAAGATGAAAAGATTTCTAGATATGAATGGTGGTAATGGTTGCGCAACCATGTGAATGTAACTTAATACCAATGAACTATACACTTAAAATGGTTAATATGGTATATTTTATGTAATGTGTATTTTGCCACTTTTTTTTGTTAATCCTCACCTGAGGATATTTTTCCATTGATTTTTTTAGAGAAAGTGGAAAGGAGGGGGAGCGACAGAGAGAGAGAAACATTGATGTGAGAGAGACACATCGATTGGTTACCTCCCTCACGAGCCCCTAGCAGAACTGGGGATAGAGCCTGCAACCAAGGTACATGCCCTTGACCTGAATCAAACCAGGACTTTCAGTCCAAGGGCCGACACTATATCTACTGAGCCCAACCAGCTAGGAAACCACTTTTTTTGTTAATTCTTTTCTTTTCTTTTTATTGATTTCTGAGAAAAAGAGGGAGAGATAGAAACATCAATGATGAGAGAGAGTCATTGATCGGTTGCCTCCTGCACACCCCACACTGGGGATTGAGCTTGCAATCGGGGCATGTACCCTGATAGGGAATCAAACTGTGACCTCCTGGTTCATAGGTCGATGCTCCGCTGGCCGGGCTAAACTACTAGTATTTTCATTTTCTTCCCTGAGTCCTTCACCATGTCTATCCTCTAATTTATTTCCCTTCTTCCCCTTCCTCCTCCTCCAAAACAAAACATAATACCTTATTTCTCTTGTTATAATTCCAAGCTGTCAAAAATACTGGGTCTGCGTGCACCCTCTCTCTCTCTCTCTCTCTCTCTCTCTTTCACACACACACACACTCACACACACACCCACACGCACACACACACACTAGTTCCACTTTTGGTGCCAAACAATCAATGCAAACAATCTGTTTGTTCAGATTAAAAGTGGTAGAATATCCAGCCATTGTTAGCCCTCAAAGCTATAGAACTAAGGTCTTGAGAACTTGAAAAATCCCAAAACAGCCAAGTCCAAGAGAAGAAATGGTCATGAGGTTGCCACAGGCAAGAGCTCCTCTCTGTTTCAGCCCTTTTCTAAACTGACCACCTTTTAGGTGACAGATGAACACAGAAGATTAATTAATGTCTGCTTTGAAATACCATTTTTAAAACTCAGATATAATTTATGAAGTTATAGGTATTTGGGGAAAAGGCTATAATTGCAGATTTGAGGGACTTTTGAAAATCTTCATTTAGATCTCAAGCAAAAGAGACAGCAGCCCATGACTGCCATTTCGGCCTGACTATGTAGCCTCCCACCTCCCAACTCCATTGTTCTCTCTTTTTCTGCAGAAGCCTGGCCAAATGGTGGGACAAGCAGACCAACATGTCATGTGATGTGGAGTAAGAGCTATGCTCCCCAGTAGGAAGCAGGGCTTAGGAGCTCCTTAACGGGGAGACCCCAACCCATCAGGCCTCTAGAGTATGTCACCATCAGTTCAAGCATAGCTAGAGTATCCAGCAGGGCCATAGGTGGTGTCCAAGTAGGTTAACAGAATACCATCGCCTGGTCCTGGAGGACTTCTGCATTCATTCTCTGAGAGCTATTAACTTGGATTTAATTTCCTCCATTTAATACTTTTCTAACCAAAGAATGCTGAAGAAACTCTCATCCATTGGCCTAACCACCCAACTGCATGCTTCCTTTTATGAGGACATCTTCAACAGCCTCCTCCCAGCCCCACTTTCATGCATCCACTACCGCTCCAAGTGCCGCCCGGGGACAGCAGCAGCTTTCCCCACCTCCCACCCCTACCTCCAGCCTCTCTGCTTCCCTAGACAAGGTTTGTTTTTTGTTTTTCCATATCTCTGCCTTATGGGTCTTTTAGTAGTGAAAATGGCCTTGAGCAAATTAGCTTTCAGTTGGGCCACTACTTCTCCTTAATGGGAAGGGAGGATTCATTACATCTCTCCAGAAGTGCTGGGCTGGGCAAACCACTGCTAGGCTGGGAGCAATTCCACCTCCTGGGTCTGTTTGCTCACAAGTCCCACTCTTTTCACCACAGAAGCTTCCAGGGACACTGCTGTAAACAATGAGCAGTAGCCCCTGCATTCAGTTAGCTTCTCACATGGAACAGCAACTCTCAGAGGAGAAACCATTTTCCCCAGTGATACTGCCAGGATGGTTGCTATTCCCAGGGGTGTACATGTCCCCTGTTCCAAGGCACAGCCCCTGAGCTGGCTGGCCTTAACCAGATTCCAGTTTCCACCTACCAACAGAGAGGGCACAACCACTAAAAAATAATGCAAAGAAGTAAAGCTTAAAAGCCAGTAGAGAATTAAAATGACATACTAAACATCCCTGATTAACACAAAAGAAGATCGGAATAGAGAACAGAAGAGCAAATGAACAACGTAAAAAGTGAGAACAATAGAAAAACAATAGGCCTAAATTCAAGCCTATCCAAAATTGCATTAAATGCAAGTGAACTAAATATTCCATTAAAACACAGAGAGAGAGAGAGAGAGAGAGAGAGATTGGCCAGTTTGCTCAGTGGCCAGAGCATTGGCCTGAAGACCAAAGGGTCCGGGGTTCAATTCCTGTCAAGGACACATACCTTGGTTGCAGGTTCCTCCTCAGCCCGGGCCCTGGTTGGGGCTCGTGCAGGAGGCAACCAATCAATGTGTTTCCCTCACCTTGCTATTTCTATCTGTCTTTACATCTTTCCCTTTCTCTTCCACTCTCCCTAAAAATCAATGGAAAAATATCCTCAGGTGAGGATTAACAAAACATACACACACACACATACACACACACACACACACACACACACACACAGAGATTGGATTGATAGACTGTTTAAAAAACTCCACAAAACCAACTATGTGTTCTTTACAAGAGATATACTTTAAATATAAAAACACAAAAGCATTGAAAGTAAAAGGATAGAAAAAGATATGCCATGCAAACAATGAGCATAAGAAAGCTTAAGTAGCTATATTAATATCAGACAAAACAAATATTAAAAGGAGTATTATAGAGGCAAAGAAGGGCATTTCATAGTGATAAAAGAATGCATATACCAGGAAGATCATCATAAATGTTCATGTGCCTAATAACAGTGCTGCAAATACATGAACCAAAATTTAACAAAAAAGAAAGGGAGAATGAACAAACCCATAATCATAGATGGAAATGTCAAGACTCTCTTCAGTGATTCATAGAAGTACTAATAGGAGCAGGAAAGTCATAAAAGATCTAAATAACATATTGACCACCCTAACATAACCAGCCATTTACAGAATATCAGACCAAACAACTCCAAAATCTACATTCTTTTCAAGTGCACATGAACCATTCCCAAGGTTGACCATAAAACACATTCTCAAAAGACTGAAATCTTAGAGAAAAGTATATTCTCTAACCTCAACAGAGTTAAATTGTAAATCAATAACAATAAGACAACTAGAAAAACATGAAAATATTTGGAAATTTAAAAAAACACTTCTAAATAACGCTTTAGGACAAAGAAGAAATCACAAGGTAAAGTGGGGAATATTTTGAACTGAAAGGTAATAAAAACATAATTATCAAAATCTGTGGGGTATAACTAAAGCAATGCTTACATGGAAATTATAAGTTTATACAAATATACAAGAAAAGAAGAAAGATCTAAAACCAAGTATTTAATTTTCTACCTTAAGAAGCTAGAAATAGAAGAGCAAATTAAAATAAAATAAAATTGCCCTGACCGGTTTGGCTCAGTGGATAGAGCGTCAGCCTGCGCACTCAAGGGTCCCAGGTTCGATTCCGGTCAAGGGCATGTACCTTGGTTGCGGGCACATCCCCAGTAGGGAGTGTGCAGGAGGCAGCTGATCGATGTTTCTCTCTCATCGATGTTTCTAACTCTCTATCCCTCTCCCTTCCTCTCTGTAAAAAAATCAATAAAATATATTAAAAATGAAATAAAACTGATGGAGGAAATTAATAAAGACTTTAAACCTTTCATATATTGCTGGCAAGAATGTAAAGCAGTACAGCCACTTTGGAAAACTGTGGCAGTTTCTTACAAAATTATTTAAAATACACTTATTTTAAGATCCAACAATTCCACTACTAGATACTTATCCAAGAGAAATGCAAACATATATCCACAAAAGACTTTTATACAGAAATATTCATAACAACTTTATTTGTACAAAAACTGGAAACAATCCTCAACAGGTGAATGGGAAAACCAATTGTGGTATACCCATACAATGGAATACAACTCAGCAATGAAAAGAAAAAAAAACTAGTGAAACATACAACACCATAAATGCACCTCAAAACATTACACTAAGTAAAAGAAGCCAGACACAGAAGTATGGTATCATACATACTATATGACTCCATTTATATGAAATTCCAGGAAAGGCAAAACTAGTCTAGAGTGACGGAGAGCAGATCAGCATTTGCTTGGGGTTGGAAGTGGTGGGCAGGAGACTGAACCTCAAAGAGACATGAGAAAACTTTGGGGGATATTTGGAATGATCCACATATTGACTGTGGTGGTTTCTATCACATAGTTAAATATGTGATACAAATAAGTGGTCTTATTATTTATTCAATTTATTATTCAGTATAGTCCTGAAAGACTAAAGCAGTAAATATGTCAAACCCAGAAAAATTAGGACAACATATAAAAGAATATTTATCAAAATACAGAACTTTCTAAGTTTAAAAAAATTAACTTTTATGTCTGAATAACCATTTAAAAAGTACAAGAAGTTGCCCTAACCGGTTTGGCTCAGTGGATAAAGCTTCAGCCTGGGGACTCAAGGGTCCCAGGTTCGATTCCGGTCAAGGACATGTACCTTGGTTGTGGGCACATCCCCAGTGGGGAGTGTGCAGGAGGCAGCTGATTGATGTTTCTCTCTCATCGATGTTTCTAACTCTCTATCCCTCTCCCTTCCTCTCTGTAAAAAATCAATAAAATATATATATATTTTAAAAAGTACAAGAAGTTAATATTTTAACTATACAAAGAACTCACTCAAACTGACCAGGAAAAAAATGACACATGTGCAAAGATGGAAATACAGAATTCATAAATTAAAACAAAAATAATCCAACCCATCTGGAAATTAATGAAATGCAAGTATTTTTAACTTCATAAATTAATGAAGAAAAAAATGTAATGCTGGCAAGAATATAGTACAACTGGTTGTCAGAATATACTGCTGATGGCAGATTAAATTGCTACAAACTTTTGAGGAAATATTTTGTCAATACATATTTTTAAAGCGTTAAAATGTACCTTTTGATCTAGTAAATACATTTATAAGACTCTACTCTAAGAAAATAACTTTTGAAAAGTAACTTTATGCAAAAAATGCTTGTTGCAATACTATTTATAGTAGCAAAATGCTAGAATGGTTAAGTAATTTATGATTTATTCACCTGACTGAACATTATATAGCTATCAAAATAGATTCTCATAAAGCCCTTGTAAGACAAAGAAAACCACTTAAAAGCTAGATATAAAATTCATATGTGTGCTGTTAATTGCCAATGTATTTTAAAAGGCCTTTAAAGACAATCATAAAAACATACATACAAAAATAAAATGGACTCTTCCAGCACTGTGTTGGGGAATTGGGGTTATGGGTAACTTTTTCTTTCTCTATATGTCTAAACTCTCTCTATATATATATAGCTAAAAAGTTATAACTTTTTTTTAGATGTACTTGTTTAAAAACAGGGCAGATACTTACTCAGCAAGCTCAGTATCTATAATGTTGTCTTTCCCATGAGCTGTGGCCATGAATATGCAGTTGATGATGACAGTGCAGATGATGAACATGCTGAACAATGTGACCAGCATCTGTTAAGGCAGGTACACTGCAGATGGCAAGTGTCAGTAGTTAACATGGTGGAGGCCACGGGTGCCCCACCAGTTCCCCTTCTCTGCAGGTGCACCTAACTGAATGTTGGCTGAGAACAACTCATAGCTATCCATCCCCTTCCTTAGGGGAATGGCAGCCTCCACACATGGAGGGCTACAACCCCCTTCCACATGTCTGACTGACTTGAGACTCACAAAAAGCTGGGCCTTGCCTCCAGGCGTGGCAGTTCTGGGGTACAATTTGTGCCCAGAGCTCTCAAACTCAGCTGAGACCCTGTCCTTATTTGACTCCTCCTTTTGCTCCATCCTGCTTCCCTTTCTCCTTCTCCAGAGAGCATTCCTCTACTAAAACACCTAAGTAAAAATCCCTGTCTCAGACTTTGCTTCTAGGGAAACCAACCTAAAGTTATTCCTTCTCTTTCTCTTCAGCACTGCATTCTGTCTACCAATCCATGTTTCTTACACCTCCCCTAGTCTAAAACTGCCTAGCATCTCCACCACCCACGCACACATCAGTAATGCCAATGATTCCTACCCGTCTTTATCCTTAAGACTGAGGGTGCAAACTCAGTCTCCAGAGCCTGGCAAGTCACATAACTAGGTGAAATGGGCTGATGTTGGGCCGCAGGGAGGGGTGAACATGTGGTGAAATAGAGTGCACACATCCCCTCTAAAAGAGGCCCCAGTTTCTCACAATGACTTTGACAGATGGGAATGCAAGCCCAGCCTTGACAGGTTCCATTGTTCACAAGAAGCTGGAAAGCTGGGCATTTAACATTAGAGAGTGTTTCTGAGAAGTTTTAAACATTGTGTAGGTGAAACACACTTATCAGCTAAGTATGATGCACAGGTTGACAGTTTACAACCTTTGTTTGGGTCTCAACTGAGATGTTCCTTTCTCCAGGAGGTCATCCTTGATGCCTCCAAAGCACAGCAGTGCCTCTCCACACTACCACTTCCAAACCACCCATCTCACTAAAGAAACTGCCTGCCTTTGGCCTGGCTCCTTCCCAGGGCAGGGGCCACGCCTTGTTCACACCCAACACTAGCACACTCCTGTCCTCGGCCAGTATTTATTGAAAGAATGAGCTGTTTCCACTCAAGAAACATGTGAACACCCTGGGGCGCATGCACTTTTCACTTGACCTGGACTTCATAAAAGATGCAACAAAAGGATATGAATGGACTGAGATTCTAATGGCTAAGCTTCGGACTGAATTGAAAGGGCCCAAAATGAACAAGGCACGTTTGGCACTGAAGCGGTAGATTGTTCTCTTTTTGTTCAACACCATAAATGTCTGCAAAAGACCAAACACAACAGGAATTACAAAGCTGTGACAAAACAATATTTATCATGAGTTCATTTCGAGAAAATTCAGTGGAACCATGGATTGAGGTATAGCTTAGCTTATTATTATAACTGGTAGTCTGTGAAGTCCAAAAGGTTGGCAACTGCTGGTTTAAGGAAACTTTTGGAGCAGTGGTCGCCAACCGGTGGTCCGCAGACCAGTCGTGGTCCGTGAGGTCCGAAAGGTTGGCAACCGCTGCTCTAGGGCATGTATCTACAGCGACAAGAATTAGAAGAGGACTGCAAGAGATGGAAACAGAATTGAACATTCACATTAAGCAGATGATTTTAAATTATTTTGATCACTAATAAAAACTTTGTAATGAATTTTAGAATAGTCAGGGACCTAGAGAGTCCATATTGTTATGCTTGAGCAGTTTGACATGAGATAGTCTGTCAATCAATTCTAACCTTGAGAATCTTCAGTAAAGAAACGCATCAAGGTTCCCAGACTTGTTCTTCAATTCCTTCCATGGACATAGGGACAAATCTGCCTGTGGTTCTCAACTGGCAGGGGAAGCCCCACAGAAGGCATCTGGAAAGGCATGGGGGTATTTCTCGTTGTCTGTCACGACGACGGGGGGGCTCCACTGGCCTTTAGTGGGATGCCAAACCCACACAGACCTGCCCCGTGGTGCACTGTCCCCCTCACAGTCCCCAGTTGGGCCCCACTACAGAATACCAAACCTGTACCCATTTCCTCCTAGCACAGCTTCCTGGGCTCAGGGAATGAAGCAGCCCCTGAACAACAAGCTTCACTCGCAGGTTTCTAACATCAACACCAGACCTCCCTCTTTCCATTGAATTGTAATCTAGCTGTTCCTTTATGTGTCCTTAAGGCTGTTGGTTATAAAAGTATTCACAGAACGAGGGTCATTCCTGTCTCCCCATGTCACTGCCCCGTTCATATTTGATATGTAATCCAGCATGTTCTCCGACAGGAAAGACAGGCCTTGTCACCAAGGCCCAAGACAGCAGGGCAGGGGTGCCTTGGCTGAAGTACCAGAACTTCAGCTATTTCACCAAGTTGCTGGAACTTACTTGTCTGCTGACCATGTGGCATTTTCTGTTTCCTCTAAAACAAAATGAAATGGGACGCAGGGTTCTTGAAAAGTTATGAATGAGCTCAGGAGCCCAAGACCCACTTTGGGGATTCTGTGCCCTTCCTTTGGATAGAAAGACAATTTCAGGGTAGAGAGCAAACCTATCCTTGAGGGAAGTCACCCCAAATTAGTAGGTGGCATAATATGGCTCTGTGTCTGTGCCCTTTGATTTTGATATTTTATTAATGTCTCCTCTGACTACTTTAAGTATTTCAACTAATGGTGTATTTAACTACACTTGCCAGGGTTTTAATGATTAAAATTATATATACTGACTCCTTCTGCCTGCTTGCTGACATATCTCCACCCCTTTCCCTGTAGCTCTTCAAAATAGAAGCTCCTAGAAAGGAAGTGGCCTGCGACCATGGAAAGAGCCCTTGGATTTGAGTCCCAGCTCCACCCCTCACTGGCTGTTTGACCTGGCATAAGCCACTTCCCCATTTGGTCTATGGTCTCCTCACCTGTAAGGTGGCATGTTAATGACTACTACACATACCTCACATGACTGCTGAGAGCACTGGTCATGTGAGGTCACAGTTCTGCAGAGCTTTAAACAAGGATTATGTCTTCTGATTTGAAGGGAGGACCAAGGCTGAGAAGAGACACTTCCAGAACATCCATTCAGGCTAGAACAGAGTCTGCCCTTAGGACTGTCCACCACACACCAAGCTACTGCCTGCCTCATGGGTCTCCTATCCGTCCTTGAGGCAGAAGGAGGCAGTTAACTCACATCCAACAACTCTGCCTTCAAGAAGCCCCTGAATTCAGGGGCATAAGGAGAAGGAGAAATATTAGACTGTTTTGCTCCTTCATTTATCTTCCTCTTTCTTTTTCCCATTTATACCCTACTTTCCTCTGTACACACAGTCCTCATTTTGCCTGGTAAACCTAAGTCTATCCCAAGGACATATGAACCAGGCAATATTTCTTCGGAGAGATAACTTTCTCTTGGTTGCTAGTGGAGGATGCTCTCAGCATCATGTGTTTTCTAGGACTTCCCTCAAACTCCCCAGCCTCCTTCCTCCCTGACCTCAGTCTGTGAGGTGGGTTTTCCGCACTTCCTTGGATCCCACAGTGAGGTGATAATGGCAAGGTCTTCTGGCACTTTCCCAAAAGGGGATGGTCTGCTGAGAACTGTCCTTACTGCCCACCCAGGCTTTCAAACAGCCAGCAGAGGAGTCCAGAATTCACATTTCCTCACCTGGGAATCCTTTTAAGGAACTTTTACTACAATTTTCCTGCAAAAACTACATCCAGGTAGATGAAACAGCAAGCCTATCACATATTGGCATGGGGTTTACATATAGGGTGTCCCCCCATAAATGTATATACACTCTGAATAATTAATTGCAATGGGTTACATCTGAAAAGAAACATCAATTGAGCTATCAGAAAAAAGTATGTAAACATTTTTTGTGGATAACCTGTATAATCTGCATGTGTCTACTCAATTACGTATTCTTAGACTTCACTTATTGAGCTCTGATTATATGTCAAGTGTTGGTTTAGGGCTTTCACCTTCATAAGGTTAACACTAAAAAGTAAACTCTAAAAAGTTTTCAAAGTAAACTCTTGTTGCTGAATTGGACAATCTTAGACAGCAATATTAATCCTTCACATGGGTATGCCTTACAGTTTGTAAAGTGCTTCCATAGCGTGTCTATGCTGTAGGGTAGAGAAAGCAGGCATTATTCCCATTTTACAGATTAAAAATGGGGATCAGTGAAGTGATTTACCCAAAGTCATAAAGCCAGTCATTGAAATGGCCTACACCCAACTTTGCTAACCGCTAGTCCAGTCCTCTTTCCTGACATTTTAATCTGTTCTCATTTTAACCTTTCTGCTGCTCCTAGTCTTCATGTTCTTCTCCAAGACACACATTACATAGAGAAAATGGGGATTGAAAGGAGTTCTCTGGATTGTGAAGGCAATAATAGGGGGTGATAGCAAAGGATAAGTACAGCTTGCTCCCTACAAACCCCAAGATTGGTGTTTGAGTTCCTTGTAACACCAGTTACAACTGCATGGTTGGAACACCCCAGGCTCCCCATGGAACTACCTTATGATTTCTGTAGAATGGGTCCAAGTCTTCCAGGGGCTTTGCTATCAGCTCACGGGGAATGTCACCATAGAGCTTGGGCAACTTCCTGGAGGCCTTTAGGTCAAGCTGAGGTCGAGGTTGGGGTTCTGCCACTGTCTTGTCTTTGAGCTTCTTTTTTTCCTTTTGGATGGCAATCCGCTTCTCAATTGCAGCCAGAGAATCAGAAGTGAAGGGGCGGAAGTTCCGCGCATCTGGGAAAATTACTGGGTGGCACCAGTCATCCATCTTCATCCTTGAGACAACGACAAGTAGATCCTCAGAGAGCTCTGGGAGGTAGAGATCATACAGCCTGCCCTGGGATTCCTCTCTCCAAGAACAATATCAATGGGTCTAGAAGAGTTGAAACAGAGGTGAGGGGCCTTGGGAGCTTATTGGTGTGGGACAGGTCAGAAGAAGTGACCACCACTGTGAATAAAGTAGGAACTTTGGGCACAGGCATGACCAAAGGAGGGAAATATTCCTGGAGAGTCTATGGATAAGTGGGAGGTTGAATTCGGAACAAGAGGCAGAATAAGCCCAGTCTCTAAAATTCAGACCAAGCATAGAGTACTAAGATAATAAGACCCAACCAGCGGAACTATTGAAGTGAGGCCTGAAGATGGCAGACAAGTGGCCATCGTGTAAACGGGAGAGGAAGGAATAAGGAATCAAGTGGCTCGTAGCTGTGGGTTGCAAAATCAAAACTAATTACATGTGTGTTTTCTCATATCTGATCAGCATGGAACACGGGCATGAACATTTATACTAACATCTATGATCCTATGCCAGCTCCTTTACTTCTGAAACCCAGATCTGGCAGAAACAAGACCCCAAGAAATCAAGATTTGTCAAACAAATAGGGTCACTCTACCATGTGATGATAGCTTTCCCAAATAGCCCTATACCTGATAGCCCCTTCTACAAGGACTTTCTCTTCAGCCCCAATCTTAAAACTAGATTCTGAGAAAAAGCAATAGTGTTCAGGTTGAATGCCTTTATTCCCCATGCCAACCATTCTCTCCTTTGTTATTTTACTGAATGCCAACCTAGGATTGACTCCCAAACTACTCTCAGGAATTCTGAAGGGGAATTCAAAATAATTCAACAACCATTGTGCTCAATGTCTGTTCTAGGCATAGTGCTAGGCACCAATGGTGAAGAAAACCACAGTCCCTCCTCCTGGTCCTACAGTCATGCCATCCTAGTGCAAGGGAGAAGACAGATAAAGACAGGAAGTTACAACAGAGTAAGACAAATGCTACTATAGTGAGAAGTAGAGGGTAATACGTCTGCATAGGGTAGGCATCTAGCTTTGGGGCATCAGGGATGGCCTACCAGAGCTTTAACGTCTCAGTTAAATACTGAAGGAGATATAAGACTTAGACCAAAAAAGGGGGGGGGCCTAAGAGTTTTGCAGGAGGAGCAAATAGCATGTACAGGGACCCCTGGGTGAAAAAGAATACAGTGTCCATCAACAAGTTCTTTTTGCCAGAAAAGGAGAGTTTGTGGAGTGGCATGGCCAGAAAAGGCTCTAGTCAGCATTGCGAGAGCACGGGGGCCCCTATAATCCTTAGTAAAGATCATGGACTTCATCCTAATGGAGAGTTGCTAAAGGGTGGGTTGTTATTATTATTATTGTTGTTATTGTTATTATTAAAGAGGAGTATCACTATCAAGTTTTTTTAATATCCCTCTAACTGGTAAGAATAAATAGGGCTTAGGATGAGGAGAAGGAGGGAGGCTAGAATCGGAAAAATCAGCTTGAAAACTATTACAATAAATCACAATCACAGACGATGACCTAATAGAGTGGATGGACTTGACAATCACTTAAGAAATAGCCTTGATAAGTAATTAATGGGAAGGGAAGGATTTGAGGACAGTAAGGAACTAAGGTTCTTGGCTTGGGCAGCTGGGTCAAAGAGTGGTGCTATTCACTCTGATAGAGAGACTAGGGAAGGAGAAAGCTTTGGAGGAATGGATTCAATTTAAAACACATGGAATTGAAGCTGCTTGTGGGACCTGCAAGTGGAGAGATCAAGGAATGCAAGTATAAGTCTATGGCATAAAATTATGCAGGGAATTGAGTGTGAAACCAAATTTAAAATATAAATAACAAGAACTGGAAGAATCATGAGAACAGCAAAAGGATTGCTGTCAGTAAGATAAATTCCTCATCTCACACAGGGACAATTCAATAACTCCTAACTAAACTTTATAAATCAAGAAACAGAAGTTAAGAGAATTATTTATTAACAAAACAATGACTAGAAGACTGAAAAACTGAAAGAGTTGAAAGTGGGCGTATATAGTTGAAGGTTGAGACATTTTATTTTTCATGTAATATCCTTCCAAACATACTTTCCTCCTGAGCTATTTGATTTTGTGCATGTACATGTTACTTTTATAGGACTGTAAAAGGAATGTAAAAATCCTTTGAGGGCTCAAAACATCCTCTGATTCAAAACAGAGTCGAAATACCAGGTATAGTGACATGCTCAAAATCTCCTTGAGTTGTAAAGGAAGCAAGCATAATCTCAACTTGCCATCCTAAAACATGTGAATTGTGATTTGACATGGAAAATCACAGGAACTGGAAGGGCAAGAGAAGGCTCTGTGAGACCGCCATGACATGGGAGTTGCCTGTCAGTGAGGGCTCTTCTCATACTCCTCTGAGGACTGGCCCAGCCAGCTCATAGACCTGCTCTCCCTGAATAGACAGAAAACAAACACCTAGGAAAGAGGACCAAGGCCTCACTTCCCTAAGCAGAGTTCCTAAATTCCTCAGGAATTCACTTGCAGTTAAGACTAGGTAGCTTCAGGCCTTACTTCAAATCTATAAGCTTTATAGAGATACTAGAGGCCTGGTGCATGAAATTCATGCATGGGTGGGGTCCCTAGGCCTGGCCGGTGATCAGGGCTGATCGGTTCCCCATCTACCCACCACCCCACCCCACCCCCTCCTCCTTCCCTTGCTACCAGCATCTGCAGCCTCCCACCCCTTGTTCCCCATCCCAGCCTAGGGTCCACCCCAATTGGGTGATCAGGACCTGCTGGCTGGGGGGAGGAGCCAACCGCCACCAGGGCAGGTGGGTGGTGGGCTGATTGGGATCTGCCAGCACAGGAGAGGGGGGGTAGGGTCTGAGGGAGAGACCAGGGAGTTGGCCACCGGCCCCAAAGAGGGACCCCCCCTGGGAAACTGCTGCCACCCACCCCTGGTTCCCCATCCCAGCCTTGACACTGGGGCCTGTGGGCTGGGGGAAGCTCCTGTTTTGAGCATCTGCCGCCTGGTGGTCAGTGCACATCATAGCGACCTGTTGTTCTGTCATAACAGTCGTTTAGGCTTTTATATATACTAGTATAGATATAGACCTTAACTCCAATTGTTCATTCATTCCTGTGCTAGATACTGGGTTTTCGAAGTGATATAAAACACCATCCCCAGCCCTCAGGGTCTTGTAGTGGTGTGGGGGGGGGCAGGGGGCCGGGGGTCAGGTAAGTCAAGGATGGAGAATAAACCACACGATGAGTGTGGGTGCACTAGGGGGAAGCATTGGATACTGTGGGGGTCCAAAAGAGGCACAGTTATGAAGAATCCAAAGTCACTGAGCTGGGAGGAAAAAGGGAAGTGTATGCAGGTGTGAAAGCACTGAGCATAGCAAAGGGTTTTTGTTTCTTACTCATGACTTTTCCTGCAATTATAAAAGTGGCATAACCTTGTGTGCTGGACATTGTCAGTTTGCCCTCCAGACCTCTCCCCATCCTTCTCCACCCTGCTCAGTGCCCATGAAGCTGATACATATGGAACTCTCTTCAGGGTCCCTTGAACTTTGGCTTCTGGTTGGGTTTGGCCAATGGGAGGCACCGCGAGGGACCAGAGAATGGTGGAGAGTGGGGTCAGGCTTTTCCTCCCCAACTCTCTCCCTGGCAGTGGCCATGGGCCATAGTGGCTGTCAGATGGCCCACCCACGCAGCTCTCTCCCAGGTTCCATAGCACCTCCTTCCCCTTGCCCTGCAAATGTGGGGTGTAGTGGCACCCACTATCAACACATTTGAGAACTGCACCCTCAATGATTCTGTTACTGAGCTCTGCCCATACCTTTGTAAAATGTCCCTTTAATAAAACATCCTCGAAATGCCCAGTTTGAATGTGCCATCTGTTTCCTGCCAGGGCCCTGGCTAATAGAGTCACCCATTAAATAAAATTTAGAAAACAAGAAAAGGAAATGATTACCCACACACCAAAGCCATCCACCATACGCAAGTTTTGACATTTTGGAATATTTTTTTCCATAGTCTTATTGTGTATAATTTGCATAGCTATCATTGTAATACATATGCAATTTTACATCATGAACTTTTCAATCAATGCTTTATCACAAACATTTTTACTATAATAGGAATCATCTAATGGCATCAACCCTATTCCAGGTAAAATTTAATTCTCAGGACAATCTCATGAGATAAAAATTATCCTTAAGGTATTTCTGAAAGGAAACCTTCATCTGGAATTAGGGTGAATTATTTGTGACCTTCTCTTAAGAGGCAGAGATTTTAACCTTATATCTTCCTGACTAGAGTTTCTCTCTAGGTTTCTCTCTTGGTAAGGAGCCAAACTGGTTAACCTGACATTCACACTTACACCAACCAGTAAGCGAAGTCACTGAGGAAGTCATCAAAGGTTTGCAACTGCATGCCCAGAACATTCCAATATGGACCTGGTCCACACAACTCAAAATGCCAAAGGTCTACCTTGAGGTTCATACAGCTATAAGCTATAGGCTAAGCCCTGTGTCAATGCTTTAAATGAATTAAGAATTTCCCTCTCATAATTTCCCAAGAAATGTACAAAGTGGATATTATACCATCCACATTTACAGAAGAAAACATTGGAGTTTAGAGAAAATGAGATACTTGCCTGTGATCACATACGTAAGTGCTGGGGCATTCCTGCAACCCACCTACCTGCCTAGTTCTTCAGACTCAAAGCTAAGACATCCCAAGGAGGTGAGAGAAGGGAATCAGGAGAAGAAAGACACATAGCTTCCAGCTGGGCTGGGTCTACAGCATCCTCACTGTGTGTGACATGCTTCCCAGGACATCAGCCTCACTGCCACCTCCCCAATCACATCTCACTCCCAGAGGCATTCCACTGGCCCCACCATGAGACCCTCCCTCCCAACCAAGCAGATAGCCCAATGATAAATGTACCCTGTAAGATGCCCCCTTGTTTGTTTTGGGTGGTGGTCTGAA